ATTTTGAATAAAATTGAACAAAACTCGGACGTCTATATTATATAGCTCCCATAGGAACGATCATAAAAATAATGATCTGCAAGGGTATATAAGCTTCGGCTAGCCGAAGCTAGCTTCCTTTCTTGTTAAACTTAATCTGCGTTCACATATTTTGGGACGACTGTGATGTTTTAGATTGCTGGCTTTGAAGCTGATCTCGCGAACGGAATCAGAACAAACGGAAATGGCTATATTGACTTCCCTAGTGATCATATCTCGGAAATATCTCTCAACCGTCTTTCGTTTTGCGGTCTGCACTCTAACACAACCGAGAAAAACGATGCACGTGTGCTCTCGATCTGAACAGAACTTTTCGTTTCTCTTTGTTTTGATTTTCGGTTAACAGCTCTCAGTTGCGTGGTTCTTGTTATGCTCACTCAGCAACAACTTAGAAAGAACGATTCATCTGAACGATCGCTCATTGAGGGTCAGCATAAGAGCGAAAAAGTGTTCGTAAACAGTCTTTTGCAGGGCTGTAAACCATTCCGTAGCTGAACCACTCCGGTTCGGAGTGGTTCACTTTTTTTCAGAGCTCGTAAAAAACGGTCAACCGAATTTTTCGGTTCGGGCTGCTCAGTTGAAAGACCCAAAAATTGAGAATGTCTAGCTCAGGGTCTGAGCAACAACCCTTTTTTCGTTTCGGTCTCGGCCTCGGTTTCGGTCTCGGTCTCGGGTTTCGGTTGACCGGAACACTCGGATCGGTCCCCAACTGACCGCTCGATACGAACAAAATCGTTCGTCGCTCATATATTGACAGTAAGTAGGTGAGCAAAACAACAAAGGGTCTCCTACAAAAGGTCTTTATTTTTGTTGCTGGGATTGCTTGTGTTGTTGTCCCAGATTTTTTGTGACAGGGAAAGCATTTGGGAGAGAGCGAAAGAGAGAGAGATAGATAAAACAAAAATTATAGAGCGATTTTTCTCCTGTACCGCATCATCATTTAACAGCTCAACAGCCTTCACCATATTTCGGCCATTATCGGATGTAATGCTAGTTAATGACAGTTTATTTATTAATACAGTTATCATTAAATATTTAAAAAATTGGTATCAATATTAATTATATCCTTACCTGAAAATTTGCTCAACCTCAATGTCGTACTCCTTTAAAATCTCCAAAATTTTATTTTTTATATACATTCCTGTATGGGATTGATTGAGCTCGACCATTCCGAGAGTTTTAATGATGATTTCGTTCTTTTGGAATGTGGACTGCATTGTTTGAAGGTTTATACCTAAAATAGATTTGTCCAATCTAGTCGCTGCGTCGATTTTGAGCGATACTAGCTTTCGCTTAACAAGACTCTTAATTTCATTCTTGATCGCGATTTCTTTAGCTCTTACATGGTCCATTATGTTCCTTGAAGTTATTGGGGTCATATGGAGATCATTGTAGATAGGACTCATTATACCCCGAAAGCCGTTGCTGTCCAATAAAATCAATGGTCTACCATCAGTGGTGACCATTTCAACAAGCGATGATGTTATGCTCTCTTCGCTTGTTTCATACGAAATTTTGCGTTTTTTTGCTATGGTTGTCTTGATATTGTTATCTTTAAGTGCATCAAAGGCATCCTTATGCTTCGTTATTAAATGCCGCCTTAAGTTTGTTAAATGGTTTCCAGCCAGTTTGGCGCCACATATGTTGCACGTTGATTTGTTGACCGATTTTTCAAACTTAAAAAAAAAATGCACTTCCTTGTTCATTTTATGAAGTTATCACAATTCACAGCGTCCGTCTCAATTTAGTCAATAAGACTGACTAAAAATTTTTACCGAGCTATATGACAGCACACATACGTACAAGCTGCATAAAAATTTTTACCGAGCTATACGAGAAGCACACATACATGCTCAAAAGACCTTTTCCGAATATTTACGACGAAAAGGGTCTCGGGTGAGCAGAGACCCGACCGAGCAAACGAAATCTCTCACCGGTTGAGCAGAGAGCAAGTCTAAGGCAAACGAAATTTTAGGGTCTCTCTCTGACAGCTTCGTATGGGGTCAGTATGTGAGGGGTTTTTTTCTGACAACAAGCACAATGAGACCTTTTTTTACGAGCTCTGCTTTTTTTAGAAAACAAACCGAACCGTAAACCGGAGCGCCGAATTTTTTTATAATTGAACCGGAACCGAACCGGGACTTTTTTTTTTATATTCGGTTAGGTTTACGAAAAATTTATTTTTATTATTAATTTTATGCTCGTCAAATTTTGCATTGGATAAAAGGAAATTAATAATTTTATTTGTATTTAAGCACATTATCTACTTTCAAGTAGAAACATAAACACACATTGTGTGTATGTATTGTATTGTACATGTATTGTACAATCAAAACATCCCAGCGGGAACATTCCTCTGGAAAATAACATATTTTTAAGAGGTTTCTCCATACAAGCGGAAGGGACAAAACCTCATTCACCCCTTACATTTCTTCCGTCTCTGGTTTCAAAATACACGGGGGTGACACAAAAAGTAAGGGGGAAATGAGGTTTCTATGTGGTTTTCCTAGGGAATTTACATTTTCCCTACACCGTCGCCTGCTGAAAGAAACAGGATTTCCAACACTTTCTGCTAAAAGGAACAGGATTTTCAGCACACAAAGAACCACCTTCTCACTTTCCCGGTGGGATATCCAAATATGCATATGTAGTACATATTATGTACATACGTATTTGGTCGAAAGTTCGCATCTTAAGATTAATATTTAACTTGGAAACATTTTGGCTTTGTTTACAGAATTTTTAGTAATTGTTTATCTTCTTCCATGGTAATTAAATAAAGCTCTAACTTCTGCTACAAAATGAAAAATATTTTTTGAAAAATAAAACCTAAGCATTTGCCATCCGCTCGCTGGGTTTCGCTCTCTCGGCAGGCTCCCAAAAAATGAAACGCAATAATAACTTAGAAAATCTAAATAAATTCGTTAAAAATACTTAAAACAAGAGACAACGCTATAGTCGGGTGCCCCGACTATCAGATACCCGTTACTCAGCTAAAGGAAGTGCGAAGGAGATGGAGATAAAAACTTTGATCCGCCTTAACTTTTTAACGAATGGTCCGATTTAAAAAATTTCATCTACATTTCGATAGGTATTGATAAACAACATAAAACTACATTTTTACTTTTCCGAAATATTAAAATTTTTAAAATCGTATATTAGCGATTGTGGGCGTTAGAGGGGGCGTGGCACCCTTTTGAAATAAACTTGCGCTGCGTAGGAACTCCTAGAATCTGCATGCAAAATGTCAATCTTCTAGCTTTTATAGTTTCCGAGATCTCAGCGTTCATACAGACAGACAGACGGATAGACAGACGGACAGACAGACGGACAGACAGACGGACAGACGGACATGTCTAGATCGACTCGGCTAGTGATCCTGATCAAGAATATATATAGTTATAGGGTCGGAAACGCTTCCTTCTACCTGTTACATACTTTTGCAGAATCTAGTATACCCTTTTACTCTACGAGTAACGGGTATAAAAATGATAAAAACTTGCAAAATTAAACTTAAGCATTTGGGCCATAGAATAACTATTGAGCCAAAAATCATCTTGATCGGAGCAGCGGTTTAGATTTTTTAAATTGAAAAGTTTATTTTAAATGTAGCCCCCAAATTATGGGGGATATCGAAATTTCTTTTAGATTTCTAATTATGCCTTTTCAAGACCTAAAATTCATCAAAATCAAAATTTCGAAATTCCAACCACTTTAGAAGTTAAGCTTAAGTACATCTAATGTTTTTTACTCAAAATATGGATGTTGGAGCTGTTTGGGGCCACTGGGAGATGTCGGACCTTAGTGGGCGCCTACACCCCCAATGGAATAATGTGCAAAAATTTGGCAGTTCTAGCTCTTACGGTTTGGGCTGTGGTCGTATCCCCTTAAAAATCGGTCTTTCATTTTATAATCTTTAGAGATTAAAAGCCATTTTAAGTCCTTAAAATGTCCTTGGACATGACCGTGTCATATCTCATATTAAAGGTATTGACTCGAAGATCAATCCTGTTTTTAGATTTTTGCAATATTCAGATTGGTTTAAAAGATATTGGCATTCAATTTTTATTTTCAATATTTATAATAAAAATTGGAAAATAAGACTTAAAAATAATTATTTTCTAATTTTTTTTTTAAGTCATAAGAATTACGATACCTGAAATTTACCAGGCGGACGAGAAAACGGTCATTAGATTTATTGTCTTCTACATTAAATTAAAAAAAATGTGCACTTTTTTTATTGTGATAGCAACCCATTTTTTACACCAAAATTTAAACACTCAAACGCACCGAATCCACAAAAGCAAGTGTGGTTTGCAAATAGACTGCAGTCTACTTGATCATGATCATTCGCATATACACTCACACAAATGCAAAAGACTTAAATTCTCTTCGCTCGTTGCAAAACGGTCAGCGAATAATCGGAGCAAAAGGGAAACACGAAATTGGTTTTTGGTTAAGCACAGACCATGGTGAAACTATACAAGGTGATCTCGTCAGCTCTGCTGAGGACGTTAAATATGTTTACCTCTCTGTCTCTCTTAAGCGATAGAATGAGAAAGCTAGATAGATAGATGGCACAAATAACGTCCTCAAAAGAGGGCAGCTCTCGCGACGAGATCACCTTGTATAGTTCCACCATGGCACAGACCGTGCGTTCAAGAGACACTGGTGAGCGGTAATTGTCTGACAGTTTTTTGGTGACTGCGAGAAACGATCAACTGTTATTTGCGAGCTAGTGATCCTGATCAGGAATATATATGTATACTTTATAGGGAATCGTCTTCTTCACTGCGTTACAAACTGGTGTTGCAGACTCTTGGATATATTTAATAATTATTATAATATTACAATAGTTCTCGTTTATGTCATATTTATTCATACGCATTTGCTTAAGACTTAAATTATTTTGTGTAAGTATAGAAAAACAAAACACAGTGCCAATTGGGCATTACACTCACTTGACAGGATGCATTTCGTTGCTACGCTCCGAGTTTAGCCATCTCTCCAAGCGCTGCATCAACAGCGAAAGGTCTCCCGGGCCGGGCGGTATATGACCCCCCACATACACCTGAGTACGACGAAATTCGCCCCCTTCAATTGGGTCCACATGTCCTAGAACTCGACGATGCAGCTCGATGATGTCCTTAATAGTGATTTCCATTCTGGACAAAAAAATAAATGAATAAATTTTTATTAATTTAATAAAATCTGCCACTTACTTTTGCACAAGACTAGCATTAATGTACTTCATAGCTAGATCCATCCCTAAGATCTCGTTGTGTTCGTCGATTGATTTACCTTCTACAGCCATGCGAGTTTCTAGGACAGACCTCGTCTGTGCCAGCGTCATAGTGTTACCCTCGATGCCTACCGAGTGGTAGATGTGCTGGAAGTAGGCTTCTTTTTTAGCCCGCCGAAGAGCGGCGTTGGACTCGTGGATGGCAGATAGAGCATCTCTTTTGGAGTCTAGCGACTCCAAACGGCGCTCATCAAGATTATGCACCACGTCAGCAGTGCGCTGACGGTTGGCTAGCGCTTCGGAGTTGGTCGGATTGATAGTTAGGGCCTGAAAGTAGTACTGATCCGCCAGAACAATGTTAAGCTGCCTGTGCTCAAGAAACTCTCCGTACCGGAGCAGAACTTCAGGGTGTCGGGGGGATAAAGCAAGAGCGTGCTCGAATAAACGCGCCGCTTTATCATCCTTTCCCGCACGGTACATGTCCTGGGCCATTCGAAGAGCCCCCAGAGCCTCCTTTATATTTGTCTGCTCCGCCTCTGTATAACTGGCCCCGACACTATCGCTAATGCTCTTATCGTAGAACTCTCTGAAAGCGTTAAGCTCCTCCACGGAGTACAGTGCGAACTCATCCCGAGTTTGCAAGAAGTGGGCTGTGGGAAGATGGTAAAGTTGCGGCAGTTTCCAGCTCAGATTCAAGGAAGTCAAGGCGTGAAACAACCAGGCAGCCAGACTGCCGGCAATGCAGAATAATACTAATAGGTACAAGTGCGCTCTCCTCTGCTTCCGTACCCTCCAGATTGGCGGATTGGAATCTTCTTTCTGCTGAGCAGGTGATGCAGGACTAGACTGCTCTGCGTCCTTGACCATGGCCAATGCTCTATGATTGCTTAGGTTTTACACAAATTTTAAATACTTTGCGCGTGTACATGTTAAGCAATGGAAGACTTGGTTCTAAAAATTGTTTACCTATCTGTTTCTGTTTCCAAAGCATACTATGCAATCACCACGTAAGTTCTGCACCGATAAGAAATACTACACGAACTTAATATACATACCAAAATTTATGTGCGACAAATTAGCGCAGCTGACTTATAGCCTCTTCCCACAGAGAACACCCATGTGAAACGGTTGGGATTGAGCATTAGCAAAGTGGGTTTTAACAATGTGAAACAACTGTACAACTTCCCTTCAGTTCTGGCGTCCCATGTCGGGGACAATTCCTTAGGCCAAACGCTCGGCCGCTGTCGACGTCAGCAGAGCAGTCGGCGCAGCGTGTACCTGAAAGAAAGAGAGGCTGATATTTATATATTGCGCTCTCTTTCCTTGTCTTATAATTTGCCTGCACTCGACGCTAGCAGTGACAAATTTCGGCCGGTCCGTCATTCTCTTTTTCGCCTTACAGTTATGTTCAGTTAGCAACCAAAATTTGGCCGGTAAAATTTGTGTGACGCAGCGAAATGTGTATGCCATTTCATTTTTCAATTGGTCCATAATATTTTTTAAATAATAAAATATTAAAAGTTGTATCTCCACAAAAATTATTTGTGCTTTTACTCAATAGAAAGGGTATACATAGAAGCATTGGCACGCGGCAAAAGCGATGATGAATCAAAAGAAAACGGGAAAGCAAAATCATGACTGGCTGTATTTTTTGACTGTCAATCGAAGAGAACAACGTGCTTAAATTTGTGCCTAGACAATTTGTAATTGGCGATTTAAAAAATTGTACAAGTGTTTACCAATTGTATTAAAAGTTAGGTAAGTGGCATTTTAATTCATTTACATATATGCAGTTGATATTAATTAAAATAACCGGTAGGTTTATGTCCGGTTTGCTATTGTTTCTGGGTAGAAAAATTCTTGCAATATGTACATTAGGGTGGACTTAAAAAAAAAAACTATTTTTTTTTTACTTTTTCTTTCTTTTATGGATTAAGGATACAAAAAAGTCATATATGAAGGGGTGAGAGCATGGCTTTAGAAATTTCATACAAAATAAGTCCACCCTAATGTACATACATACACACATTTCCCGTGGCCAGCGCTAAAAATGCTTAGGATTTCGCTGCGGTCTCTACTTGATTTAAAAAGGTAAATATAAAAATATACAAGTAAAACATATTTTTAAAACATATGTCTGTCTTTAATTTTTTCAGGATCCTTCGTCAAATATTCACGCGGACAAATTCATGAGGACGGCAATCTTACATAAAAATCAAAAAAAAAAAAAACAAGGGGTATTATTTATAATTAATTGTACGAAAATGTAAGTAAAACAATTGAACACAAAATACAATTTATAAAATGAAAGAGCCAATAAAAATTACAAATAAATTTTTATGTTTCTTATTTTATATAATGCAAGGAAAGAATTTTTTTGTACATGAAATTGCTGATGACATTTTTAAAAAGTCATCCATGAAATCACCTATGACACAAGGTGACACGATGATGGATTTTCCTAAGTGACAACCCATTGGACAAATTCTGAATGTCCCTCGTGAAATCCTAAGGGACATGTCACCGGTTGGTGACATCTCAAACGACAATTTCGTATAAGGCCCTTGGTAAATCCCCGGGGACTTCGAAAAATTTCATTTGAATTGTACTGAAGGAAAAAGCGGAACTCCCATACAATTTTCTCTATGTGGCGTCCTCGGTTCGTCCTCGAGTACAGACGACCTGTCCTCGGGTTTTCCTTTGGTGATTACTGAGGGAAAAGTGACATCTGGTACTGAAGGGTTATTTTAGACAATTATGACAATGGCTTAAAACCTATCTGTACTCTTAAAGCATATCCTATAACAAGTCTGCATACCAATAGCTGACAGCGGGAGTGTATAATAGGGTCTTCCCACAGAGCACCATCTACCATCCGTTCATCGGATGGTCCGTAAGGTTTTGCCGTTCCGAAAATTTCCCAGTAAGTCCGCGATCCAATTTTGACGGACTTTGACGGGCTCTTTAATGCGATATTTATAGCCTCTTCCCATAGAGTCCATCCGTTTGAAACGTTTGGGAATTTTGACGAATGTGAAACTCGTGTTCCCACAGAACTCCATCCACCATCTACCATCTACCATCTACCATCCAATAACAGCTGACTGAAGAGCAGTTGCTCAGCTCAACATTAACGAAGGGGAATTTCAACTCGGGAAAACTGTCGTTAAATTGCGTTCTCCTAATTTTATTGTAGAATAATACAATAAATAGATTAAGAAAATAGTCAGGAACCGTAATTATTCTTAGTTTTATTTTAAAAATCACACTTAAGGGCTAGTACTCAACCCAACAAAAAGTCGTTCAAAACAAAAACTTTATATGAAACAAAATTTGTTGACGTTGTTTTTCATATGAAGTTTTTTATTTTGGACGACTTTTTGTTGGGTTGAGTACTAGCCTTAACAGTTATTTTCTGAGTAAAACTCAAAGAATAAATGTTATTTTTTGAGTTTAATAATAAAAGTTGACAAATAACAGTCATTCGTCGTGATCAAAAATAAAACTCAAACTTGATTTATGACGATTTTGTGGGTAAAATAAATTTAAAAAAAATATAGTTATAAAATATGCGCGCTTGCCTTTTTAACAAATTTTTAGTTAATTACATAAAACACGGTTAGCATGTTTTTATACCCTTGTAGAGGGTATTATAATTTCAGTCAGATGTTTGCAACGCAGTGAAGGAGACGTTTCCGACCGCATAAAGTATATATATTCTTGATCAGCACCAATAGCCGAGTCTATCTAGCCATGTCCGTCTGTCCGTCTGTCTGTCTGTCCGTCTGTCCGTTTCTATGCGAACTAGTCCCTCAGTTTTAAAGCTATCGCGATGAAACTTTCCCAAAAGTCTTCTTTCTATTGCAGGTAGTACATATGTCGGAGCGAGCCGGATCGGACCACTATATCTTAAGGCTTCCATTAGAATATTCAAACAAATATAAGAAAATTCATTGTAACTTTGTAAGAAGTAGGCGTTTTGATTCTTGACTACTTATGTATAAACAAAATTAAAATATAAACGTTGAATCTGGAATCCCTGGAACTGCACCGAGTAAGCATTACTTTATCTACAAGGGTATATAAGCTTCGGCTGGCCGAAGGTAGCTTCCTTTCTTGTTTTTAAATTATTTTATTTTTTCAAACATGTCAAGGGAATAACTGATATACAAAAAAAATTTTTGTATGGGGAACCGCTGGGCGTCCACCGAAAAATAGGTATTGTGAAAAACCTTTGGCCGGGAACCTCTTTTTTTTTTGATCTTCTTCATTATGAATTAAACTTTATTTTTAAATGGTTTTGAACTCAGTAGCTGGTTAGGAGCACTGAACAAAATTTTTATTGTATTTTTTTATAAAAAAATACATTTTAAAAAATGTAATATTTATTTTTAAGAAAAGCTATTACAATTCTTGATCGATTAGTGAAAACATCATAAAGATATCTCAAACCGTTCCGAAAATATACAAAAATTACTGAGTGCACCTTTTTCGAAAAAGTGTCAAAAATGCCATGTTGTGACCGCTATAACTCCGGTAGAACTCAAAATTTCGCAAAATCGTTCAAATTAAGTTCTTATTTTGTCGTTGTGAACAGAAAAAGTCAACTAGTTCGATGAAAATCGGAACTTCAAAACGGGGGTGGCCCACTTGGGAGATTTTGACTCAGTTTAATTTAATTTTACTTTGCACCTCTTTGAGGTGCTGAAATAGCAGTGAATGAGCGCCTAATATATCAATAAAATTCTTTTAGGCGCTTTTTCATCTTCTAATTATCACCTAAAATCATCACCTATTCACTGCCCATTTTCATCACCTGTTCACCGCCCATTTTCATTAAAAATATGTTCAATTTCGTCGCCTTTATCAAAAGGTTTATTTCTTTACTACATCATTTCTGGTAAGTTATTTTCATACTTTTAAATAAATGAATAGATTTTTACAAACTACTACAATTTAATTCTTCTTCTCTCTGTCACGATCGCGCTTGCCTAAGTTGTCTCACCCATGGTGAAACTATATAGGTGGTCTTATCAGCTCTGCCAAGGACGTTATTTTTCAAAGAGACAAAGGCTAGAAAGAGATAGAAATAGTATTTCATTCGCACGACTGGCACAAATAACCCAGCGGCGAACATGTGAATGGGGTCTGGAAAAAAATGCATTACACGTGTAGAAAATGTAATCGATCACGATCGCTGTTTTTCGACAGTGAAGTTGTAATCAGAGCTCCTATGACTTCGTATTTTTGTTTGTTAACGATTTCCTTTTGTCAAAAATCACAAACACACCTAAAAATTATTGCCTATGTGTTCGTTTTTTGTTTCCCCTCCGTCACATTTGAGCTTCGGAACTTTAATAATAACAGCATGCATTCTAAGTATAGTTTAGCAAACTAAAAAAAGCTCAGACAATGGCCGAGCGGTTAGCCTTTCCATCCATTATACAATAATACCCATGTTCAATTCCTACATGAGAAAAGAATATTTTTTGTTTTCATAAATGAACAGCATTACAACTCAGCATACGTTTTTCAAAATGTATGTTGAATTTTTTCTAGTCTGTCTACAATTTTGGGAGAGTATAGTGAATTCGTAATGGAGACCCGAAGGTGACTCGGCCTTAGCATACTTTTCCCGTTACTAGTAATGCAAATTGTGTCCCGACCACATTACAAGGCGGCCATGCCTATGGCAAAGTAATCCATGTTGTAATCCATTGTTTTCCTATTACTGGAGGAGAAGTAATGCATTCGTAATTCATTTTGTAATGGCAATTTTCGCCGCTGGGAACGTCCTTAAAAGAGGGCAGCTCTCGCGACGAGACCACCTATATAGTTTCACTACGTCTCTACCCCTGCGCAGGCAGACAAAAAAATTTGGGAGAGCGTCGTCTCTTCATCTTAATTTCGTAAAGAGAGAAATTGAGAGAGAGGGGGTTGGTAAGAGAGTCGATCCTGCCGTCGTCGCAGTCAATTCAGTTCAGACCCTTCAGTACCAGATGTCACTTTTCCCTCAGTAATCACCAAAGGAAAACCCGAGGACAGGTCGTCTGTACTCGAGGACGAACCGAGGACGCCACATAGAGAAAATTGTATGGGAGTTCCGCTTTTTCCTTCAGTACAATTCAAATGAAATTTTTTCGAAGTCCCCGGGGATTTACCAAGGGCCTTATACGAAATTGTCGTTTGAGATGTCACCAACCGGTGACATGTCCCTTAGGATTTCACGAGGGACATTCAGAATTTGTCCAATGGGTTGTCACTTAGGAAAATCCATCATCGTGTCACCTTGTGTCATAGGTGATTTCATGGATGACTTTTTAAAAATGTCATCAGCAATTTCATGTACAAAAAAATTCTTTCCTTGCATTATATAAAATAAGAAACATAAAAATTTATTTGTAATTTTTATTGGCTCTTTCATTTTATAAATTGTATTTTGTGTTCAATTGTTTTACTTACATTTTCGTACAATTAATTATAAATAATACCCCTTGTTTTTTTTGTTTTTGATTTTTATGTAAGATTGCCGTCCTCATGAATTTGTCCGCGTGAATATTTGACGAAGGATCCTGAAAAAATTAAAGACAGACATATGTTTTAAAAATATGTTTTACTTGTATATTTTTATATTTACCTTTTTAAATCAAGTAGAGACCGCAGCGAAATCCTAAGCATTTTTAGCGCTGGCCACGGGAAATGTGTGTATGTATGTACATTAGGGTGGACTTATTTTGTATGAAATTTCTAAAGCCATGCTCTCACCCCTTCATATATGACTTTTTTGTATCCTTAATCCATAAAAGAAAGAAAAAGTAAAAAAAAATAGTTTTTTTTTTTAAGTCCACCCTAATGTACATATTGCAAGAATTTTTCTACCCAGAAACAATAGCAAACCGGACATAAACCTACCGGTTATTTTAATTAATATCAACTGCATATATGTAAATGAATTAAAATGCCACTTACCTAACTTTTAATACAATTGGTAAACACTTGTACAATTTTTTAAATCGCCAATTACAAATTGTCTAGGCACAAATTTAAGCACGTTGTTCTCTTCGATTGACAGTCAAAAAATACAGCCAGTCATGATTTTGCTTTCCCGTTTTCTTTTGATTCATCATCGCTTTTGCCGCGTGCCAATGCTTCTATGTATACCCTTTCTATTGAGTAAAAGCACAAATAATTTTTGTGGAGATACAACTTTTAATATTTTATTATTTAAAAAATATTATGGACCAATTGAAAAATGAAATGGCATACACATTTCGCTGCGTCACACAAATTTTACCGGCCAAATTTTGGTTGCTAACTGAACATAACTGTAAGGCGAAAAAGAGAATGACGGACCGGCCGAAATTTGTCACTGCTAGCGTCGAGTGCAGGCAAATTATAAGACAAGGAAAGAGAGCGCAATATATAAATATCAGCCTCTCTTTCTTTCAGGTACACGCTGCGCCGACTGCTCTGCTGACGTCGACAGCGGCCGAGCGTTTGGCCTAAGGAATTGTCCCCGACATGGGACGCCAGAACTGAAGGGGAATTCTCGAGCTGCAGGGTTGAGAGGCAATGCATTTGTATATGTATAAAGAGAGAATATGGGCTTAAAAATATAAAAATACAAAAAAAAGTCCACCCTAATGGACATACACATCTGTTCATCTGGGTTCCCACGCATATTATAAGGTGCTGTGTGCATAGGCTATAATTCCACTAAAATTAAAAAGTTAGTTGAGTTTTTAGTTTGGCAGTGTTTTTTCTCACTGTTTGGGAGCAAATTTTTTATGTTTATCTATGTTGTTGGTTGATGATAGTAAAAAGAACCCGAATTCTGCAGCTAATCGAACCAGCAAGACCTCCGTTTACCTAAGGTCTGTATCTTATCCGGAGCGGATGCCAAATACTAAAAGCTGAGTTAATCATGGAGTGCGGATAAGGGGATTACTTATCACCAACCATTGGACATTGGCTATTTAACTTATATAGTAGTAGTTATGTAGTTATGAATGGCTCGACTTTCAAGCATTTCGCGCCTTGCGTTCGAAATAGTCACATCAGTCTGTAGATTCTTACACCATGGTTGCATTGAGCAAGCAGTAAGTACATACCTCTGTCTGTACTTTCGCCCGAACTCTATCAAAAGCCAGTATCTAATGCAATGGCCAGCGAAGATGCCAGCGAAAGTGGCCAAAACGGCGTAAATCAATTACTGACTGCCATGGGCGACTATTACAGCGGCCGGCGGGATGAGCAGCCCGTAGCCAACATCTTTGAGGACAAGCGCATCTTCCCCGAGTTCCGCGGTGGACCTTTGGACGAGTACCGACAGCGGGCTAGCTTTTGCTACAAGCACATGAACGTGCTGCTTGAGGGCGAGGATCACATCCGTATGAAGGTTAGTGTCAATTCCAGTTTGTAATGAGGGCAGTGTGGTCAAAGTGCAGATATTTTAATGGCCACTATCGGAAAGGTAAGCAACCCCACCTAATAGCAGTCTCTACTTACACTAGTTTAGAAAATAATATTCTTGGAGTGCTCCGCAGCAATTGATGGCAAATTCTTTTAGTGCTGGAGCCCTAGATCACGAAAATACCACTAATTATACCCGTTACTCGTAGAGTAAAAGGGTATATTGTATTCGTGCAAAAGTATGTAACAGCTAGAAGGAAGCATTTCCCACCCTATAAAGTATATATATTCTTGATCAGGGTCACTAGCCGAGTCGATATAGCCATGTCCGTCTGTCTGTCTGTCTGTCTGTCCGTCCGTATGAACGCTGAGATCTCGGAAACTATAAAAGCTAGAAGATTGACATTTTGCATGCAGATTCTAGGTGTTCCTACGCAGCGCAAGTTTGTTTCAAAAGGGTGCCACGCCCCCTCTAACGCCCACAATCGCTTATATACGATTTTAAAAATTTCAATATATCAGAAAAGTAAAAATGCAGTTTTATTGTGTTTATAAATATCTATCGAAATGTAGTAATGTTAAATCGGACCATTCGTTAAAAAGTTACGGCGGATCAAAGTTTTTATCTCCATCTCCTTCGCACTCCCTTTGGCTGAGTAACGGGTATCTGATAGTCGGGGCACACGACTATAGCGTTCTCTCTTGTTTTTTTTTCGATGGCACAGGTTTTTTTAAAGATTTTTTAATGTGTAATGCCTAGTAATCACTTCAATCGAAAAGCCTACGAAATGAAAATCTCCATACAAAGTTTTGATCACAAAATTTTCCGCCTGTCATTTTTGAACCTCCCTATGATAAAACTTAAATTTGGACTCGGTCGACAAAAAAAATTGAAAATCCGAACTTTAAAAATCCACCATAAATCCAATTTTCCATGGATTTTGGCCATATTCGACTTGTTTTATTCGGTAAGATGTAATCTCTAAGTTTGTACCCATTAGATTTTGCAACGTATTTATTTTGAGTTTTTACGATATATACAGCCGACTTACAGTCAACCAAAAAACACATTTTTCATCTTTGTCGAGTTGCTGCGCTGCCATTACTTATCCAATTATATTGATCTGTATGGCAAAGTTACGCTTTGATCTATTGACTTTAAAATGAAATGAAAATTTACCCAATTGGGTGGATATGAGCCGGGATATAGGAAAAAAATCGAAAAACTTTAAAAAAGAAACTGTGCCATCGAAAAAAATTAGTGATATTTTTGTGATCTAGGGCTCCAAAACTTACAGAATTTGCCATCAATTGCTGTGGAGCATTTTGGCTGTAAACTAGTGTTATCTGCCAAGTGAGTAATCCGTTTACATTCTCATTTGCCTAAAGCACAAGGTATGGCAGTGGATGGAACAGCACCCCGACTACCAGCGGGATCCAGAAGGATCCAGCCTGGAACGCACCCGTGAAATGGCAAACAAGCGCCAACATCTCCTTTGGGAGCAACAGTTTTATGGTGTAAATGAGGTGGGATGCATACTCTATAGTTGAAGGGCTGTTCAAAATTTCCTTTTCTTCTTTCAGTACCTGGAAACACCGCACCTTCTGCTTGCTTTTGGCCAGGCCATCTTTAGTTACGACTTTAGCACATCAGTTAAGTTCGGCCTGTCCACGGGCATGTTTCCCAGCACCTTGGTCTCTAACGGATCTGGCCGTCTAGGTAAATATGTGGCCAAGATCGCGGACAACCGTATTCTCGGAGCCTACGCCCTTACTGAAATCTCCCACGGCACCAATGCACTTGGCATGCGCACAAGGGCCACCTACGACATAAACCGGCAGGAGTTTATTATTCATACGCCAGACTTCGAGGCCGCAAAGTGTTGGGTGGGCAACCTTGGCAAGACCTGCACGCATGCCATTGTCTACGCCCAGCTATTCGTCCCTGATGATCAGCACCAGGGCCTGCAGGCTTTCCTTGTCCCCATCCGTGACGAGCGTACTCTGCTCCCCTTCCCTGGCGTGACAGTAGGTGATATGGGCGAGAAGATCGGTCTTAACGGCATCGATAATGGGCAAGTATTTTTTTCCCCCAGTGGAGAAGTTTCAAGATTCCAACAGTAGAAATAATTTCGCTTCTGGACCTTGTAGCTTTGTGATGTTCAACCAGTATCGTATACCGAAAGCAAACCTCCTATCTAAAACCGGAGATATTGATGCGCAGGGCAACTACACTAGCCAAATTAAGGATGAGCGTAAGCGTCTTGGCGCCTCTTTGGGTGCCCTCTCCGTGGGACGCGTCAATATTACTGCAATCACATACGTCGCATTGAGCAAGGCTGTGACAATTGCTACTCGCTATGCGGCTAGCAGGCGGCAGTTCGGTCCTATGAATAGTTTGGCGGAGTGGCCGGTGATCGAGTATCAATCACAGCAATATCGTCTTATCCCTCACTTGACCACCACAATCGCATTGCGAGTTGCCACACTCTGGATAGGCAAAGAGAATGTAGATTTAACCATGAAAGGCTTCACCGGAGAGGACACGTCACAGGCGGGAATGGAAATCCACGCGATTTCATCAGCACTCAAGCCAGTCGCTACGTGGGCTGCCAGGGATGGAATCCAGGTATAGTTGTCAGATGTTGTAATCTTTTCATTATAATCTGGGTTATTATCGAGTATCACAGAAATCTTTTCCAACCTAAAACCGTTATTATGATTCTCGATGGACAGCGATTTTAGAACTCTCATGACTATGAATGACCAACATGTTTATTTGTACTATATTAACACCAGTTTACAAAAAAAAAACGATGAAATACGCACTTCATGAAATCTTTGCTTTTCGTTAAGGTACATCTTTCTGATTACGAAAAGGGCACTTAAAATTTTTTTTATGGTACCAATTATTTTTTTTAAGTGTAAAAAACGTTTTTGACACTTTTTTTAATTTCTAACTAGAGTTGTGATAAATCGATTTCAACTTATAAAGACTCGATTTACAGGTAATAGAATGCCCTCTAACTTTCTTATACATAGCATTGAGATCCATTCATTAGTTTAGAAGCTTCACTTCGTCAAAGTTAAAAAAGTTGGAAAAAACGAAAAAATGCTGACATAAATGGCTTCGTTAAAAATGCACGCCTAAAAACCGAAATTAGTTTTAAAACTTATATTGGTAGAAGGTACTTTGACAAAGAAAACAAGCTATTGATCATTACAATCCACCAGCAAATTACTTTGATATGCATTTTTAAAGCTTACGACAACGGTGTTTTTTTTCCGCTTACAGCTATTAACATTTATTAACATTTAATAGGGCTGTAATACTCGTTTTTCCCAACGTAAAAAATCGTATAAAACTAGTTATGATGTTATAAAACTAGTTTCGGTTTTAGGCGTGTATTTTTAACAAAGCTATTAATGCCAAATTTGTTGCATTTTTTTCTACATTTTCAACTTTGACGAAGTGTAGTTTCTAAACTAAGGTTCAAAGATATTGTGGTCCGATCCGGCTCGTTCCGACATATGTACTACCTGCAATAGAAAGAAGATTTTTGGGAAAGTTTCATCGCGATAGCTTTAAAACTGAGGGACTAGTTCGCATAGAAACGGACAGACGGACAGAAGGACAGACGGACATGGCTAGATGGACTCGGCCATTGATGCTGATCAAGAATATATATACTTTATGTGGTCGGAAACGTCTCCTTCACTGCGTTGCAAACATCTGACTGAAATTATAATACCCTCTGCAAGGGTATAAAAATAATAGAAAAACTATTGTAACTTTGTAGAAAGTAGGTGTTTTGATTTTTGACAATGTAAAAACAACATTTTAAGTAGGCAATGCCTGCACGAGTAAGTAAAAATATACTCGATTACTACTCGGCGATGCCGATTCCAACTGTCAAATCTGGAATCGTGGCATCGTAGAATCGTAGGCATCGGCATCGTTTTACTCATATCTGACTCGTGTTTTTTTATTAAACAAAATCAATCAAAATTCTTGTCAGAACAAGAGGAACCAATATACCCAAGATTTCACAATTGTTAGTCCTATCTACTTAAGACCATAGATTAACTCTTTGACAATATGAGACCGCGAATTCTTTGGAACAAGAGAATTTTTTTATGTTTTACCGTCTTTGAACCCGACATACACGAAATCTTAACCAAAATGAGACCGCGAATTCTTTGGAAGAAGAAGAACCAATAAAGGACCATGTCCAAAACACGTATGGATTTGTTGTCTTTAACTAGGTTTTTCTATTCACGAATTCTAAAAAAAATGTATCCGCGAATTCTTTAGAAGAAGAGGAAATTTTATTGAAATTTAATTTTAAATGTCAAATTTGAAATTTGTTGGCGATGCTACGATGCTACTCGTACGATTCTACGATGCCGAGTATACTCGGCATCGTTTGACACGATTACATGATTACAAAAAATAATCGTGGCATCGCCAACTTGATTACTTTTACTCGTGGAATCGGCATCGGCATCGTATCGTTCAGGTCTCTACTAGGCATACCTGCAAGAGTATATAAACTTCGGCTGGCCGAAGTTAACTTCCTTTCTTGTTATTTTTATATTTTTAATACTATTGCTTTTAGGAGTGTCGGGAGGCTTGCGGCGGCCATGGCTACCTAAAGTCTTCTGGCTTAGGCGACCTGCGAAACGACAATGATGCTAACTGCACGTATGAGGGCGAAAACAACACTCTCATCCAACAAGCATCCAACTGGTTAGTTAGTCTACGACGCAACAACGCTGACTTCGTAGCCGTCTCTCCGTTGGAGACGGTGACCTTCTTAAAGGATATGGATGAACTGTTGCAAAGCAAGGGCCAGGAAAGTACGCCTATCGAAGCCATGGATGTGCACAGTTAGTATTTCATTAGTAACTTAAAAAATGGTTATTAAGAGTCAATAAAGTCAATCACTGATCTAAAACGCCCTTTAAATCTTAATTATAACTTTTAATTTATTATTATCCTGGTGCTACAAATATTACGACCAAAAACATTTTTTTTAGATTTGCTAAAGGCGCTCAATTGGCTAACGGCCTGGCAACTGGAGGCGACTGTGAAGCGGGTAGAGGGACAACAGCGTGATGGAAAGGATGCGTTTGAAACGCGAAATAATATACAGGTTTTTGCTGCCCAGAAGCTTTCTGTAATATATGGAGAGGTGAGATTCTTATTTTCAAAATCTAAATTCAAATTAACAGAAATGCGCCGTTTTAAGCGCACCATCTACTACGTTTTTTATAATTTTGTGGACAGCCTACCCAATTCTGATGAAAAAAAGGTGCTGCAGCAGGTACTTTCCTTTTACGGCGGCCATTTAATCATCAAGTACTCCTCTGTTTTTTACCGCGGTGGCTACTTCCGCGAAAACTCGCTTCAACTCGAGTTGTACGAGCAAGGAATCTTGGGGCTGCTTCCCGTGCTAAAGGATGAAGCTATTGCTCTAGTGGATGCCATTGCTCCCACAGACTTTATTTTGAACTCACCCCTGGGCATGAGCGATGGAAATGTAAGTGATTTTTTTTTAAATGCGACACATAATCCAACAAATATTCTCTTTTTAGGTCTACCAGCATCTTCAGCGCACGATTGTTTCAACTCCGGGTGTCTACGAGCGCCCACATTGGTGGCGTGACGTTACCTACAAGGATTACCTAAAGCGCGCAAAATTGTAGGGTCAAAGAAACCAACCTCTTTTACTTTCTCAACATTGTGTTTTTAAAGTTTATTTTCAGTTGTATAACACGAATTTTAATAAATCGGTTTTACCAAGAATTTTGTTTTGATGTTGGTGCTACTAAAGATCAGACAGGTGCGTGTCAAAACGCCCTTACAAAAAAGTGTCATAGTGCCCGCGGGCGTTATAACTTTTAAAAAATTTTAAAATGCATTTTCAGTTTATAAAAATACCGCGCGATTTTTCCTGCGCCGCTTTTTTCCAGATCATATTACTCATTACTATATTACTCTATGTTACTCACATTTACAAGAATTTCAATATATTGTTAAATAGAGCGCAGACAAAAAGTGGTTTGAATAAAGGTGCAAGCCACATTATTGTTTACAGCGCTCAAGCTGAATAAGAATTGTTTACTTATATTAATAATAATTAAATATATTTTCCCTGCGGGCGTTATGACACTTTCCTGTGTGTCATAAGTCCCTCAAAAAAAGAGGCATAGCGCCGCGGGCGTTATGACATGGACCCTGATCAGATCACTATATCTTATGGCTCCCATAGGAATATTAAAAAAAGCAAGAAAAGAAGCTATATACCCTTGCAGATCATTCTATTAATTTACAAATCGCAACAATCTTAAATTTCCTTTTATTTCACATTAATTTTTCGAACGTTTCTATGGCAGCTATATGATATAGTAGTTCGATCTTTTTAAAATTAAAATCGAAATTTGGAAATATTTAAAAATAGTCATAACCCAGAGTAGAAGAGAATTTAATAAAAATCAACAAAGATATAATTTTTTTTCCTAATAATTTCCATATAATTTTTCGACCGTTCCTATGGCAGCTATATGATATAGTGATCAGATTTTTTAAATATTTAATTCGAAATTGAGAAATATATAAAAAATAATATTCCCAAAAGTAGAAGGTAATATTTAAAAAAACACCGAAGCTAGAATTTTTTAACGTTTCCTTCCTATAGGAGCCATAAGATATAGTTGTCCGATCCGGTCGGTTCCGACATATATACTACCTGCTATAGAAAGAAGACTTTTGGGAAAGTTTCATTCCGATAGCTCGAGAACTGAGAGACTAGAAACAGACGGACAGACAGACAGACGGACGGACATGGCTAGATCGACTCGTCTAGTTATGCTGATCAAGAATATTTATACTTTATGGGGTCGGAAACGCCTCCTTCACTGCGTTGCAAACTTCTGACTTAAGTCATAATACCCTCTGCAAGGGTATAAAAAAGAAACAAGAAAGGAAGCTACCCTTGCGTTCCCTCTTGTTTGATATTGATTTGTTCGCAGAAGACTCCTCCTCCAACTCAATTGTCGAGTTTGGAGCCGTCTGTGAAGAAATTTATACTGTCATTTTGCCCAAAGGCCTCCCTAGAGGGAAAGACTGTTTTGAACGTTGTAGAATAGTGTTCTACGGGTATGCAATAATCTGTTAATTGCTTGTTTGCGCCTACTGATAGAATGGATGAGTGTCCGTATTGATGGACTGTCCAGCAGTTTGCGTCTCTCAGACCTCGTGCTGTGATGGTGGCGGTTTCTTTTGCCACTAGTAGAATTGAAGATATGCTAGTAATAGCGTTGAGCGCTTCACCAGAGGACTTGTTGAGCGCCTTGAGTTTAGAACTATACAGCAGCAATGACCAAATGGATACCCCGTATAGGAGGATGGGTCTTACTATGGCGCTATATAACCAGCAACCTAGAGATGGGAACATCCCCCATTTGAGGCCTACTGCTTTTTTGCAAGTGAAGAGTGCAATGTTGGCCTTTTGCACTCTATCCGATAAAGTGAGATTTTAGTTCAGTTTCTTGTCTAGTACAAACCCCAAGCATTTTGCACTATCGCTAAACTCTAGAACGGAAGCATTAGGTTTGGGGCGGAGAACTCTTGGATCTTATACTTTCTGGAGAAGACAATAAGGTCGGTTTTACTTGGGTTTACGTTTAACCCACTTTCGGATGCCCATCTTGACAAATTTCTTAGTTTAACTGCACAAAAAAAAAAAAAAAACTTGGTAAAATCAACTGTAACAAGAAAGGAAGCTAACTTCGGACAGCCGAAGCTTATATACCCTTGCAGATAAAGTAATGCTCACTCGGTGCAGTTCCAGGGATTCCAGCAAAGATATTATAAACAGTGTTTATATTCTCTTTGGATTCCAGATTCAGCGTTTCTATTTTAATTTTGTTTATACATACATAAGTAGTCAAGAATCAAAACGCCTACTTCCTACAAAGTTACAATGAATTTTCTTATATTTGTTTGAATATTCCTATGGAAGCCTTAAGATATAGTGGTCCGATCCGGCTCGATCCGGTACTACCTGCAATAGAAAGAAGACTTTCGGGAAAGTTTCATCGCGATAGCTTTAAAACTGAGAGACTAGTTCGCATAGAAACGGACAGACGGACATACAGACAGACGGACAGACGGACATGGCTAGCAAATTTTTTTGTATGTGTCATAATGTCACAGAGGCCTTGGGGAAATTGCAACAATCTTGCACCCACCATCTTCTATGCTGTTTCTTTCGATTTGCCTTTACAGTATGCGTGCTGAGATTCCAAGAGTCGTCTGTCTTTTTAAATAGCCCAGATTCGAGGACGACTTTGAGAGTTACAAAAAAAGCTTCCAAAGAGGATTAAATACCCGATCAGAATTTTCTCCAATCCTCTTTTAATGCCTGCCTAATGAGCTTTTTAAATTGAGCTGGACTGTGTTTATATTCTGACCAGTTTTGTTCACAACTTAGTCTTTTTGCTCTGTTGAAGAGTTTTCTACATTCTACCCTCAGCTTGTCTATTTCTAGTTTCCAACATGATGGTTTCCATTTGCCTCTCGGCTTGCTGATTGAACAGGTTGCTTTATATGCACTATTACACGCTTCAGTGAAGGCTGTCGTGAGATAATTAAGATGTTCCTCCGATGGAGGAAACTGTTCTGAAGAAGCTGGTACGGCTTTAGCCAGGTTATTTTTAAAGGCTGTCCAGTTAATTCTGCGGGGGTTTAAGAACGTTACTGGGTCAGGGTTGGACGCACATAATTTTTCTTTAATGAGACTTTAAAAGAGCGCGAGAAAGAATCAAATATTTTTTGCTGCTCTTCCACTAACACCAATAATAAAGGCACGATATCATATTAATCCTGACCCGCTTGCACTTCTTTAAACTCACACAAATGAAAAATTGTCATAATAAATTGACGCTAAAAATTGAATGTGTCATCTGAGCCTTAATGTGTATCTTTAGAAACGCTCCATAAGCTCTATAAGCTGGTCACACATGAAGTTTAAGATAAGGTTTAGGTATATGCCCTCCTCCCTGTCCTTGATTACAAAAATGGGGTCGTTTCCCGTATTGCCGATAAGTAGGTTAGTGGAGAGAAGATACTCAAAAAGTAACTCATCCCTCTCATTTGTGTTGGTGCTGCCCCACATCTCGTGGTGGGCGTTTGCGTCGCCTCCGATCAGCAGGCCAGTGCCTCGATCCTCGCAATCTATTACGCGCTCCCTCAGCTTTCCACCCGGTATCGGGTCCATAATGTCGCACGCTAAGTATGCTGACGGTACGCGTAGCGATCTGACTTGGAGCTTTAGACATATCGATGTAGGAATCGCTGTAATTATAAAGCATGTATGCACTAAGGTGCTTATCGCTAGACGAAGCATAAGGGCAGCAGAGGCTGCTTTGCAGTGGTGGAGGTTTATCTGCACTACCACTAGAGACATCATGCAAATTTGCCCCTATCACCGTCACGTCAGCGTCCAGGTCCGTTAAAGTCCTCGAAGTTTTCGCTCATGGAGTCGGTACCCCCGTGACCCAGCTTACTGAAGCCCTGGAGAAGGGATGCCTCGGATATCACCGACTCGCATTCCTCGTCCTCTTCGCCTGGCTCCTCCATCTCTGTGGCCACCAGGTGGCCACCACCAGGTGCTCGACACAAGGCTCTTCCTTATGTTTGGTGTCCGACTTATACACCCTGATACGCACCGAGCTAAAACCGAAATTTATCTTATCTTATCTGGCCGCCTGCGGATTCCCTTTCCTCGTACCTATTCATCATAGCATTGCTTGCGGCAGACCTTTCCTTCACCCCTGCACCCGACTGAGCTGCAGCTGCGCTGTTTCAGTACATTGCATGTCTGTCTGTCTGGTTGTCTGTCTGTCACAAACAGCAAGCAAATTAATTGAAAGCTTGGGACCCAGGTCGGCTCAACATTTTGTAATATTTCAAAATTGGCGCCAATTAATTTGCTTGCTGTTTGTGAACCCACTCTGAAAACTTCGGTCACACTACAAAAGATTAATATTTTTCGATTAGTGAAACTCTTAGCCCAACGAGTACTAGGCTTTAACGTCAAAAAAACCGTTCATGAGCAACTTAAAAAATACCGAAAAAAAACCCAAAAAGTAGGGGAGAGTGGGGCAATTTCGCCAGCATTTTTTCAAAGCTATTTTTTGTCCATCTTGAGACACGTTATCATATTTCTATTTTTATTGTTGAATGCGGTTAGCACCAGGCTTTAAAAAGTGACATTCCCCTTTTTTTTATTACCTTGGTGATTTATAAAAAATTAAAAAGTAAAACCAATATACTGGGGCAATCTCGCCACATACAGTGGTAAAATCGCCACACCACTGGGGCATTTTCGTCACCAGAAAAATGTAGGGAGTTTGACGTCCTATATTTGTTGCTGCTGCTGGTAGTCTGTTCGTTAGCCAGCTCGTCAAATAAAAAAAGATGTATCTAAAATAGGTGCGAATTTACCCTAAGCATAGGGTGGTGAAATTTTCCCACACAGTACTTTTTTAGAAATAATTATTTTTCTTCCGAAATTAGGCGCGAAGTTAAACATCACTAACGCAGAAATGCACATTATAGCACTGTGTATTATACAAAAAAACCTGTATCTTATCCCTTTTCAATTGTGGCATACAGAAAAAATTTCGTCGAGAACTAAATGTAGCTTTTGAACTATTAAAACACATTTAATATTATAGCTTAATTGCACAGGCCGGCAAAATGTGACATGGGTCAGTGTCCAGGCCTGGCACCATTTATTTCGATAAATGAGGCTTTTCTAAGCATAAGTTGCTACTACGCCTATAGTCAATCAGCTCTGGTATTTGCGGTATCTTTAATTTAAGAAAATCACAAAATTTCTTCGGCTTTTGGGATATATCTTTAGTAGTGGACAACCAATTTTGGTAATCTTTTCGTTACATAGTTACATGTAAATAGTTACATGTCTCTTTTATACGGTCGTATTGGAAAATTCAATCTAACTCAACCACAAGAGGAGGTGGGCGCATTCAAAATTTTAAAGTCACAGCAAAGTTTAAAAATCTTCATTTGTGAACAGCGTTTAAAAATTAAATAAAAATATCCAAAGCCACCTTATGTCCTTAATTTTTAGGACACTCATCAGGTTTTTGTGAATTGTTTTGGAATTTTTAAAATTGTTTTTCTTACTTCCTTCACAGTGACGATTCACAAACAGTATTGTCCTGGACATTTTTTTTAGAGATACTCTAATAACTTAGCTTAGTTAAGGATCCATCTAACTATAATCAAATATCAGTGAAAAATTATAAAAAAATATGTTTTTATTAGAGCCCTGCATGGGTATACAAAATGGGTTATTTGGGTACCCAAACGAAATTTCAGGTCAAGTAGGTCAGGCTTTCTTTTAAAAATTTACCTACCCAACCCGACCCCAAAATTTTCGGGTCGTTTGGGTTTGGGTAAAATTTTACCCATTTACCCAAATACCCAAATCCAAACGACCCAAATCGAATGGGTTTCAACCAAAAGCCCAGTACTCAGTTCGGCTAAGAGTTTTACTAGTCGAAAAATATTAATCTTTTAGTGTGACCGAAGTTTTCGGATTTCATCCGCAATGCATGTAGCATGGTCTTACTCTCAGCAAACAAATCAACTGGCCCCAATTTTAAAATATTACAGAACGTTGAGCCTACCTGGGTCGCAAGCTTTAAATTCCCTGTTGAAGAGGCGATATGTATTGCAGCAACTCCTACAGGCAGTTTTCCATTGATTTTTGTGGTTTTCTTTTCATTTATAAATTGTTATTGGCACACCGCTTTTGCACAAACACAGCCAAAGATCAAATTTTTTATTCTTTGGGCCGCGGCTAAAGGCGTTCATCGGAATTCATCCGCTAAATCTAGTATTTTTTTGGTATTTCCTTATTGTTTCCTTAGCTCAACTGAGTACCGCCGTAGAAAAAAGTCCCAGCTAAAGGCCTTAGCTACCTATTTGCCTCTCGCTTACTCCTATGCTTAGCTAGCAGTTTTCGTCGTACTGAGTACTAGGCTAAAGAAAAAAAATTGATTTTTAAATAAGACGATGATGACAATTTTCACAGCCCAAACGACCCAAGTCAAATGGGTTTCAAGTAGGTCGGTTGGGTTTAAGGTTTGACAAACAAGTCAGGTTACTTGTGCAGGGATCTAGTTTTTATCATGTTTCAAGCTTTTTTGCTTTGTTGACATTCTCAGAGAATTCCCCATGTATAAAACTACCGCCCCTTAATGTGGACAGACGAAACCATGAATATGGACCCGTGTGAAAAGTCTGTAAGGGCAATATATGGGCAATTCTCTGGGGATGTCAACCAAGCCAAAAAGCGTGAAACTTGAAAAAAAACATATTTCTATATGATTTTGCACTGATATTTGATTCTAAGTAGATGGATCCTCAACTAAGCTAAGTAATTTGAGTATCCTTGGATAATTTTCCAGGACAATATCTGTTATATGGACAAAAAAGTAATTTTTTTTCGGTATTTTTTAAAGTGGCTCTTATAGTCTAGTCACACTGTGTGGGGTAACCTATCGAGTGAGCCAATAACCCGATTACTCCAAAAAAGTGTTTCCACTTGGTTAACTCCAAATATCGAGTAATGACATCTAGTGTTTGTTGTTTGTGTTGTTTATTTGACTAGGGATGGACCTTCAACGATAGGAAATAAATACAAAATATACCGAAATATACAAAAAAATACTCCGAAATACTAAAGACCCTAAAAGTACCCCACTTTTGCCCACATCTAGTTGCCTATACACATCCTATGTTCATACAACACCAGAAATTAGCGAATTCTGATGGAATACTTGAATGCGATTTTTTTAGAATGTTGTTCAAACATGTCGCTGTGAAATGCTTTTGGTTTTACTCAAAAATTCTTTGCCGTTTTTTTTTTATGCAGTTTCAACCACATTCGCTCGGGACATGTCGTTCGGGACATTTTTTCCGACTGTTTTGTAAAGCGGATTTCTTTACCTCTATCTCTCAATTGCTGGATGTTTTGCTTTTAACTTAATAGTTTAGCATGTGAATGAAGCATTCAGTACAGAAAAATGTCACATATTAGCGTTCCTATAGGATAAATTAACAACAGAAGAAAGCTCCAAAAAATAACAAAAAAAATAGCCAAAAACTGATTTTTGCGTATATTGGTGGGGTTTGTCTTAAAAATAATGAAACTATACTCCAAATTTGTAGTTAAGCTCAGTATCCAACTAATTAGAAACTAATATCGGGGCAAAATCATGTGGAAATATGTTTTATTCAAGTTTCAAGGTTTTTGGCTTGGTGGACTTTTTTTTGGAAGTGCCCATATACTTTGTGGACAAGAGTAAAAAGAACGTTATTTTTGACGTTTAAAACCAAATATCACAATAGTCTTTTTAAAATAAAAATCACAAATAACTGTTATTTACGGTTCCTGATTTTTATACATCCTTAAAATTTTTCTGAAAGCACCTAAGTTGTAAAGGTAACGATTGAAATTTTAAGAGAAACAAATTCTTAGAATATTCCGAAAAAAAATTTACTGCAAAAAAAAATGGATATTCTTGGACGTAAAGTAGTGTTACACCCTAGATCCCCGTTCAGTTCTTTTTTCGAAAAAAAAGTTTAGATATTTAACTACAAATTTTGTAATAATTAGCCTGCCTTTTGTGCCTCTTCTGAGAAAACCTCAGTTTAAGCTAGCAAGAAATGTTCATAAACTGAAATATCGTCAGTAGTCTTGTGTTGCTCATGAGTGAGTCAACAAAAAAGAGTTGCTCACTAACTTAAGTGAGTGAACATGTTCCTTCGAACTTGTTTTTTATTGTTCACTTGTTAATTTTTGCTCACTTGCTCCTTTTTGTTCACTTGCTCAGATTTGCTCTCTTACTTGCTCTTTCTTGTTCACCTGTTCAGTTTGGCTCTTAGTTTACTTGCTCAGTTGCTCTCTTGCTGTTTTTGGCACAAAAAGTTTTTTTTTTAAATTTTAGGATGCATTTTGCATACGGTTTTACAGACAATGAGCTGTTTTCTCAGAGCCAGTGAAAAAGTTAAGGACAGAACGAATGAGCAAGTGAACAAGTGAGCAAGTGAACAAGTGAACAAGTGAGCAAGTAAAATAAGAGCCAAACTGAACAAGTGAACAAAAAAGAGCAAGTAAGAGAGCAAAACTGAGCAAGTGAACAAAAAGGAGCAAGTGAGCAAAAATGAACAAGTGAACAATAAAGAACAAGTTCGAAGGAACATGTTCACTCACTCAGTTTAGTGAGCAACTCTTTTTTGTTCATTCACTCATGAGCAACCCAATACTACAGAAGAACGCCTAAATCATTTACTGAATATATACGGTCAAGTGGGAAGCTCTTTACGTTACATTTCAGGCAGTTAAATTTTAAGAGGTTATACTCACACCATACTAGAAAATTATTAATGTCTGATTGTAAGCCGAAACCAGACTCTATATTATTGTATGTCAAACAAAGCTTAACATCATCAGCATACATTAGTACGTGAGAATTTGTTATGATAGAGGGAAGATCGTTAATAAACAAAGTAAACAGCAAAGGGCCCAGATGACTACCCTGGGGCACTCCAGATGTCACGTGGATCATTTTAGAAACAGCTGGGTTTTTGCTGATCTTCCTAGGGATCATACTAGAAAGTGGGACAGAAGGAGGTGCACGGGTGTGGCCAGAGGCAGTACGAGGTGCGGCAAAGCCCCCGAAGTGGCAACAGCCGGTGACCGGTTAGCAGAATCTGGCAGGGATTACACCCTGACATAAGTCGTTAATGACTCGTTCCCATTGGGATCTTCCTTATCGCACGAAATATCCCAGCGGCGAACATGTGAATGGGGTCTGGAAAAAAATGCATTACACGTGTAGAAAATGTAATCGATCACGATCGCTGTTTTTCGACAGTGAAGTTGTAATCAGAGCTCCTATGACTTCGTATTTTTGTTCGTTAACGATTTCCTTTTGTCAAAAATCACAAACACACCTTAAAATTATTGCCTATGTGTTCGTTTTTTGTTTCCCCTCCGTCACATTTGAGCTTCGGAACTTTAATAATAACAGCATGCATTCTAAGTATAGTTTAACGAACTAAAAAAAGCACAGACAATGGCCGAGCGGTTAGCCTTTCCATCCATTATACAATAATACCCATGTTCAATTCCTACATGAGGAAAGATTATTTTTATGATTTCATAAATGAATAGCATTACAACTCAGCATACGTTTTTCAAAATGTATGTTGAATTTTTTCTAGTCTGTCTACATTTTGCCTTAGAATATTGGGAAAGTATATTGAATTCGTAATGGAGACCCGAAGGTGTCTCGGCCCTAGCATACTTTTCCCATTAGTAGTAATGCAAATTGTGTCCCGACCACATTACAAGGCGGCCATTCCTATGGCAAAGTAATCCATGTTGTAATCCATTGTTTTCCCTTTTACTGGAGGAGAAGTAATGCATTCGTAATCCATTTTGTAATGGAAATTTTCGCCGCTGGGCTTGTTTACGTGCTCACTTGTTCACTTGCTCACTTGATCACTTGCTCACTTGTTCACTTGCTCACTTGTTCTGTCCTTAACTTTTTCACTGGCTCTGAGAAAACAGCTCATTGTCTGTAAAATCGTATGCAAAATGCATCCTAAAAGTAAAAAAAAAAACTTTGTGCCAAAAACAGCAAGAGACCAACTGAACAAGTAAACTAAGAGCCAAACTGAACAAGTGAACAAATAAGAGCAAGTAAGAGAGCAAAACTGAGCAAGTGAACAAAAAGGAGCAAGTGAGCAAAAATAAACAAGTTCGAAGAAACATATTCACTCACTCAATTTAGTGAGCAACTCATTTTTGTTCACTCACTCATGAGCAACCCAAGACTAACAAAAAGTGATATATATCAAAAGTTGAGGAATTTCAAGGCCTACATAGTTTCCAAGTTAAAAACAGGAGAGAACGCTATAGTCGGGTTGTTGTCCCGACTATCTAATACCCGTCACTCAGCTAAAGGGAGTGCGAACGCTGTGTCGGGTTGGTGTCTTGACTAATAATCGTAACTCAGCTAAAGGGAGTGCGAGGGAGATAGATATATAATTTTTGATTGCGTATAACTTTTTAATGAATGGTCCGATTTGAAAAATGTCTTCTACATTTCGATAGGTATAAATATACACAACAAAATTGCATTCATACTTCTCAGAAATCTTTAAAGATGTGGGCGCAGGACCCATTTTAAAATCGTTAGTGGGCGTTTGTGGGCGTTAGAGGGGGCGTGGCGCTCGGCTAAAATAAACTTGCGCTGCGTAGGAAGCCAAAGAATATGTGTGGGAAATATCAACCTTCTAGCTTTTGTAGTTTCTGAGATCTCAGCGTTCATACAGACGGACAGACAGACAGACGGACAGACGGACAGACGGACAGACGGACATGGCTAGATCGACTCGGCTAGTGACCCTGATCAAGAATATATATACTTTATGGGGTCGGAAACGCTTCCTTCTAGCTGTTACATACTTTTGCACGAATCTAGTATACCCTTTTACTCTACGAGTAACGGGTATAATAAATCGTTAGAGCTGTTTTTGAGAAAATAGCAAAAAACTTATTTCAAAAAATAACTTTTAGTCATAAATTTGAAACTATCTTATTTAGCCAATATCAACAAAGGCAGCGTGATTCGCATATTTCATTACCTTTTCAACGAGGTATTGCACGAGACGGTAGCTTTGGTCGTTCAGAAACTATAAGACTTCAAAATCTAGCCCTTTTTTTAAAAGGGTTTTTCCAAAAGTCGTAGAACAAACGTTTCTTATATTGACTTGCTTAACACCATAAAAATGACATAAAATTATATAAAAAATTACAGGATTCTAGAACAACGATTGGATCCATACATACAAACAAACGGACAAAAGTTTTCATTTTAAGAACATGAAGAAAATCTTGTTTTCGGTATAACTTTTTAACGGATCATCGGATATCATATAACCCCTAATTCGACAGGTATTTTCAATAGAAAAACAACTAAAACATTTCGTGGGGCATTTATCCCCACCGGCCCCAACAGCTCCAAAGTTCGAAATGTTCACTTTTTTACTTTCTCCGCTCTCTCTTCCAAGACAATTGATTTTCTGAAAGTCTTGGTATGCAATCCTGTTAGTTTTTCCGATACCTTTTGATAGCAGATTTTCAATTTTGCGGCTATATATATAGTTGTCGACTTCGCACACTCTCCTTATATTCTTCGTCACTACATGGACTGCCGTCCATAGTGATTTATTTATATATTTTTTCTTAAAAAATTCCTACAACAACAAAATTTTACTAAAAAAATTCACTTTGTGATGTTTTTTTTTACCTATTTAATTGCCTTTACATACCCTGGGTGTGTGCTTAAGTTTTGTGCATCAACCATCTTCAAACCTATTCTTAAACTTTTTCAATTGTCTATTTCATCATCAGTTTTTCCAACTATCTGGAAGGATTCTTTTATTATTCCACTTCACTAAAAGGATGCGAAGGCGGATGCCCAGAATTATAGAGGTATTTCTAAATTGTCGGCAATTCCAAAAGCCTTTGAACGTATTATCACTTCTCATTTGCAACATTTATGTTCCTCGCTAATATCACCGTGTCAGCACGGTTTTGTTAAGCGAAGATCGACTACCACCAACCTACTTGAATTGTCATCAATTGTAATAAATGGATTTAACAATAAAAAGCAGACTGACTTTGTATATTCAGATTTCAGTAAAGTCTTTGACTCTGTTAACCATTCTCTTCTTTTATTCAAATTAGATTTGCTTGGGTTTCCATGTAATCTATTAACTTGGATTTCAAGCTATTTGAATGGGAGGACTCAGAGGGTTATATTTAAGAACGCTCTTTCAAAAACGATCCATGTGACATCTGGAGTACCTAAGGGTAGTCATTTGGGCCCTTTGCTGTTTACTTTGTTTATTAATGATCTTCCCTCTATTGTAACACATTCTCGTGTACTAATGTATGCTGATGATGTTAAGTGTGTTTGACATATAATAATATAGAGTCTGGTTTTGGCTTACAATCAGACATTGATCATTTTCAAGTATGGTGTGAGTATAACCTCTTAAATTTGAACTGCCTAAAATGAAACGTAATGACCTTTTATAGGGTTACCCCTACCTTTATAAGTTATTCGCTTCAGAATTTGCCACTTGACCGTATATATTCAGTAAATGATTTAGGCGATCTTCTGGACCCGAAGCTTAAATTTGACTGCCACATAATGTCGACAGTCAATAAAGCTATGAGTGTTCTTGGGTTTATAAAGCGTTGGTCAAAAGAATTTGATGACCCTTATATAACCAAATTATTATTTACCTCCCTTGTCCGTCCTATATTGGAATATTGTTCTTCGGTTTGTAGCCCACAATACCAAGTCCACATTGACCGTATAGAGTCGGTACAAAAAAAATTTCTCCTTTTTGCCCTTCGTAGTTTGAACTGGGATCAAAACGTAAGGCTACCTTCCTACCAGAGTAGATTATTATTGCTTAATTTACCGACACTTGCAAATCGTAGAAAAATTTGTGGTACCATTTTTATGCAAATTCTTATAAGAGGTGATATTGATTCTGTAGAACTTGTTAGCCGCCTAACTTTTAATGTTCCCGTTAGACTAACACGTAATTATCATCCTCTTAATTTACCTCGATGCACATCAAATTTTGGTCTGCACGAGCCCTTTCGCGTTCTATGTAATAACTATAACGTTCTTTATCATTTAATTTGCACATCAACTTCTATCTCGGTATTAAAAACTAACATTTTAACTCATTTGCTTCACTCCTAACTGCATGTTTTTTTCATTATTTGTCCCGTCTTTATTGGTTTTATGTATTCTTCCTCGCGAACTCGCATTTTTGCCCAAATTTACAAAAGGGCCCCGCGCGTAACAAGCACGTGCTTGGTGTCGTTGGGCCACTTGTTTGTACTTCTCGTAGTGCATCAACGTCCATCATATATTTAACAATACCCTAACAAAAGATATTCGCTATAGGGCTCCTCTGATTTAAGGCAGACTTTTGACTTTTTCGCCCCACTGTGCATCATTTTAAATAGGCAATAACAGCACATCGTGTGAGCCATGTCCGTCTGTCGGTCTGTTTCTACGCAATCTAGTCTCTTAAATGTTAAGCAATCGGGATGAAACTTTCCCAAAAGTCTTATTTCTATTACAGGTATTATATAAGTCGGAACCAGCCGGATCGGAACTATACCAACTTTCTACTTTTGGGAATATTACTATTTAAATATTTTTGAATTTCGAATTAAATTAAAAAAAATGGGATCACTATAACCATAGGAACAGTCGAAAAATTAAATGGAAATTAATGGAAAAAAATTTATTTTTGTTGATGTATATTACATTTTCTTCTTTTTTGGGATATAGCTTTTCCGTAACATTTCAAAATTTCGAATTTAATTTAACGAAATTTGGACGGTTATATTATATAGTATGTTTTTTTAAGTTAATAGTATACAAGTATGCAAGGGTATATAAGCTTCTACTGGGCGAAGCTAGCTTCCTTTCTTGTTAATATATTCTTTGAAAACTAAGAATTGGTAAATATTTTATCAGTTTTTTATTACAGGCTTTGCACATCTGCGAAGAAGGCATTCAGAAGATCAATGAATCTGCCAATCGCCTGGAGAAGCCTGTGATTACCTGGTCCTTGCTCGTAGATCTAGACGGTCTTTCTATGCGACATCTGTGGCGTCCAGGCATCAAAGCTCTGCTTTACATAATTGATACTGTGGAACGCAATTATCCAGAGACCATGGGACGTGTTTTAGTAGTGCGGGCACCCAGAGTGTTTCCCATTACCTGGACCATTGTTAGCGCTTTTATCGGTGAGCTAATCCCAACTTAATTGATTTATCTTACTGACAATACTTTGAAAATCCTCAGATGAGCACACGCGATCTAAGTTTCTGTTCTATGGTCCCGACTTCGCGCATATGAAAGATGGTTTAGCCCAGTACCTCGACGGGGAGGTAATACCTGACTTCTTGGGAGGACCCTGCAAGGTAAAAAACAAGCGGCAGACACGATACCGTGTTTTCGGTCGTGAATCCATCTGCATCTAATGCTATTTACATGATTTTGTTATTATTGTATCTGTGCATAACCAATCTCTCTTTTCTCACTGGTTTTGGCCTTGATTCCGGCTCGCTGGGGCTACTCAGACAGAAATCCAGCACGATTTGCATGTGGAGCAAGTCAGTCAGACATATTTTTCCCATTGTTATTTAACCAAATGCGATTGTGTAAGCATCCTACTCTCTTGTTATTTTGGTCCTGCTCAATTTCGTATGTCATTATCAACAACAACAAATTTTATTGTATTTGTCCGCCTTTGTCTTACTTCCCTTTTGGTTTTCACACATTGATTGTGCAGTTTTTTTTTTAAGTTTTGTCAACTTCATGTGCGCAGCTACTATAATAGTATTCCCATTGGGCCCCTGCGCCCGTGTCCACCTCACTTGTTTTCTGTTCACTCAGACGGTGGCATAAAAGGCTCTTCAATAGCTGCTTGTCGTCGCCGCCAGAAAAAACTCTAACATATTGTCTTCTTTCCAAAAGACCATGATTCACGAGTGCGGACTTGTACCCAAAACGCTTTACAAGATGAACTCGCTGGATGATCATGGGGACGAAGTGCCTGTAGAACTGCCCATCATTATTGAAGTGCTGGCTCCGGGCATCCACCAGCACGACCATAAAAACCTGTACAAGAGCGTGGATCTAAAAGCCGGATTTAGCCACGAGCTGCTCATCCGGAACGAGGACCCTAAGAGTGTCCTTACTTGGGACTTTGATGTAATCCGCAACGACATGCACTTTACGCTTTACCGGATCACCCAGGAGCTTCCGGAGAAGAAAGGTGAATGATTAAATCTAAAAACTAAATAACTAAATCTAAAAGTTTAATAACTTTAATATAAAAATGCCATCTTGTTTTTTCGCGCGCCCCATTTCAAATAATTTAGATTTTGCAATAACATATTGGGAATTACAGTGACCAGAAGGTGTCAAAAGGCCAAATAGTTAAAATAATCCATTTGATTTCGGCGCTCTTTTAGTGCTGGCAGCATTTTTCTAGCACCAGCAGCTAGTGATAGGCGGTTCCAAAATTGTATTGCCCAAGGTATTGGTATCACCGGCCATGCAATGCGCTAGCCAGGTTTTAACGTTAAGGGCGTTTGTGGGCGTGACAAACTTTTGTGGTCGTTATAGGGGGCGTGGCACCTCGATAAAACAAAATTGCGCTGTGTAGGAACCGTTAAAATCTGTATGTTGAATGCCAACTATAAAATGTTTCTGCTATCTCAGCGTTCATACAGCCAGACAGGCGGACAAACGGACTTGGCTAGATCGACTCGGCTAGAGATATATATTTTATAGGGTCGAAAACGCTTCCTTCTACCTGTTACATACTTTTGCACGAATAAAATATACCTACCCTTTTACTCTGCGAGTAACGAATATAAAAATCAATAAAATACGTCTGGTAAGGTACATCTCCCTGATTAATAAAATGAAACTTACAATTTGTTGTATGGTAGATGAGAGTATTTCGTCACAGGGGCAATTTCGCCACCTGCAATATCTCGGAATCCATAAGTCGTAAAAATATATAATTTTTTGGTTTTAGTCCTTCAAGACGGCCAGACACAACCAATGCGTTTTTTTTGCACAGAAGGCCAAGATAATAAAGCTATAATATTAAATGTGTTTTAATAGTTCAAAAGCTACATTTAAATTTTTTCTGTATGCCACAATTGAAAAGGGATAAGATACACATAATACACAGTGCTGTAAAGTGCGTTTCTGCGTTAGTGATTTTTAACTTCGCGCCTAATTTCGGAAGAAAAATAATTATTTCTAAAAAAGTTCTGTCTGGGGAAATTTCGGCACCCTATGCTTAGGGTAAATTCGCACCTATTTTAAATACATCTTTTTTTATTTGACGAGCTGGCTAACGAACAGACTACCAGCAGCAGCAACAAATATAGGACGTCAACAAAAATGGTACGCTTGATCAGTGTAGCATATTTACAGGCGTTAAACTCCCTACATTTTTCAGGTGACGGAAATGCCCCAGTGGTGTAGCGATTTTACCCCTGTATGTGGCGAGATTGCCCCAGTATATTGGTTTTACTTTTTAATTTTTTATAAATCACAAGGTAATTAAAAAAAGGGGAATGTCACATTTTAAAGCTTGCTAACCGCATTCAACAATAAAAATAGAAATATGATAACGTGTCTCAAGATGGAAAATAGCTTTGAAAAAATGCTGACTAAATTGCCCCACTCTCCCCTATACATATATTCTTGATTAAGGTCACTAGCCGAGTCGATATAGCCATGTCTGTCTGTCTGTCCGTCTGTCCGTCTGTCCGTCTGTCCTTCTGTCTGTCTGTCTCTCTGTCTGTCTGTCTGTCTGTATGAACGCTGAGATCTCGGAAAATACAAAAGCTAGAAGACTGAGATTCCCCGCACATATTCCTGGGCTTCCTACGCAGCGCAAGATTATTTCAGCCTAGCGCCACGCCCCCTCTAACGCCCACAATCGCCCACTAACGATTTTAAAACGTGTCTGGAGCCCAAACCTTTAAAGATTTCCGAGAAGTATAGCTGCAATTTTGTTGTGTATATTTATACCTATCGAAATGTAACAGGTATTTTTCAAATCGGACCACTCATTAATAATTTATGCGCAATGAAAAAAATTTGTATATACCCATCTCCCTCGCACTCCCTTTAGCTGAGTGACGGGTATTAGATAGTCGAGACCTCAACCCTACTATAGTTTTCCATCTCCCTCGCACTCCCTTCAGCTGAGTGACTGGTATTAGATAGTTGGGACACAAACCCGACGGTTTTTTGACGTTAAGGTTACAGAAAAACCACCTAAGAAAATGACGGAAAAAACTGTCGCGTGCGACATTTAGCGTGTGACAGTCAATTCGATGCCAATAAAAAAAATAACTAGGGGAGAGTGGGGGAATTTCGTCAGCATTTTTTCAAAGCTATTTATTGTCCATCTTGAGACACGTTATCATATTTCTATTTTTATTGTTGAATGCGGTTAGCACTAAGCTTTAAAATGTGACATTCCCCTATTTTTTTAATTAACTTGGTGATTTATAAAAAATTAAAAAGTAAAACCAATATACTGGGGCAATCTCACCACATAGGGGGGTAAAATCACCACACAACTGGGGAAATTTCGTCACCTGAAAAATGTAGGGAACTTTACGCCTGTAAGTATGTTACACTGATCGAGCGTACCATTTTTGTTGACGTCCTGTATGTTGTTGCTGCTGCCGGTAGTCTGTTCGTTAGCCAGCTCGTCAAATAAAAAAATATGTATTTAAAATAGGTGCGAATTTACCCAAATCATAGGGTGACGAAATTTCCCGACACAGTACTTTTTTAGAAATAATTATTTTTCTTCCGAAATTAGGCGCGAAGTTAAAAATCACTAACGCAGAAATGCACATTATAGCACTGTGTATTATATAAAAAATCGTGTATCTTATTCCTTTTGAATTGTGGCATACAGAAAAAATTTCGTCGATAACTAAATGTAGCTTTTGAACTGTAAAAACACATTTAATATTATAGCTTAATTATCTTGGCCTTCTGTGCAAAACAAATGCATTGGTTGTGTCTGGCCGTCTTGAAGAACTAAAACAAAAAAATTATATATTTTTACGACTTATGGATTCCGAGATATTGCAGGTGACGAAATTGCCCCTGTGACGAAATTCCCCCACTCTCCCCTACTCAATATTTTGTAACCAAACCAAATACATTTTAAAGAAGAATGAACAAGGAACACTATAAAATTTACTGCATTACAAGATTCCTCCACGTTTCGTTACAATCGAAAGTTAAGCAGGAAGTCAAAAAAGTCACTTCTATTGGTGTCGCGTGCGAAAGTCTTGGTTTTTGTATATATCTTAAAAACGAAAAATTTCCCAAAGTCAGCTCCAGCACATATTTTAGTGCTAATCAAGACCTTAATTTTGAGCCTAGTGCCAAAAGAAAAGAAGTCCAGGAAGATGGTTTTTTTTCACCTGCAAAGCGTACGAACGCCGCGTGCGACAGCAGAGAATTGCCCATATATTTATTCTATGAGTTACTATCGGAGAGCCCGTGTTACTTTGAGATGATTTACTTATAAACAAGACTTTCGTATAAAAGACATACGTAGCCCAAAAAACGCGCATACGCCTGGCCAATTGGGTTGTTAGTGGACGAATAGAGAGAGAATGAGAAATAGGGATGTCAAAAATATATCAAAATATCAAAAATGCATATCATCGCGTTCAGAACTCAAGAAAACGCTTGATTTACTTGATTTGAATATTATAAATAAAAGCAAAAGAAAGCAAAAATAAATATAGTTTTCTTTCATTTATTAATAAATATAAACTAAAAATTATAAAAATATAATTGAAGATCGTATGTGGGTTAATGTTTAGTGGTTAACACAAAAATATCAAAAATATCTTATATGTATATATTTATACCCTTGCAGAGGGTATTATAATTTCAGTCAGATGTTTGCAACGCATTGAAGGAGACGTTTCTGACCACATAAAGTATATATATTCTTGATCAGCATCAATACCCGAGTCCGTCTGTCAGTCTGTCCGTCTGTCCGTTTCTATGCGAACTAGTTTAAAGCTATCGCGATGAAACTTTCCCAAAAGTCTTCTTTCTATTGCAGGTAGTACATATGTCTGAACCAGACGGATCGGACCACTATATCTTATGGCTCCCATAGGAATAATCAAAAAAATAATAGAAAAACTATTTTAACTTTGTAGAAAGTTGGTGTTTTGATTTTTGACAATGTAAAAACAACATTTTAAGTAGGCATACCTGCAAGGGTATATAAGCTTCGGCTGGCCGAAGTTAACTTCATTTTGATTTTTTGTTTAAATAAAAATTATCATCGATACGTTATTTTTAAATATTTCGACATCCATAATGAGAAAGGAGACTGAGATAAAGCAGCAGAATAAAGAGATAGATTGGTGCTACCGGACCAAACGAATATGGGAGTGATGGGAGCTACCAGACCATGAAGAATGAATGACGCCCTAATTCAAAATTGACATTATTTAGCTATAATATAGCCATATAATAATATATTTGGATTTAGAGGATTTTTGTAAAATGAAATTATGTTTACCAATTAAATTCAAGGATTTCTATTAAATATTCAAATTTAAAAAAAATACAAGGATTCCTATTAAATATTTAAATTATTAAACTTAATATATTAGGGGTATTCCCTAAACTGTTGAATTGCTGAATTGTTGAATTTTGGTCAGCTGTTAATCAGCTGTTCCATACAAAGTCAACTTTCAGAAACTTCAGCAATTCAACAGCCTCGGGGCTGTTGAAAATTTTGTTGAATTGCTGAAAAGCCAGAGTTGTCACCTTTTTTTAAAAGTCGTGGCAACTCTGTAACATTTTAGTACCACCAGTACGCATTATTTATTTTTAAATCAACTAAGAAAGCATATTTGTGGTTCTTTTTACCTTGGTAACACTTTTAGACAGTAACTAGCAATAATAAATCAAATTTTACATGCTTTAAGTTCCGTGAAACTTTTCCACAAATAAGAGCTGTTTGAAAATTCAACAGGAACCATTTTGGGTCGTTCCCTTAATTGCTGAAATTTTTTGTTGAATTTTCAACAATTCAGCAAGTCAACAGTTTAGTGAATCCCCCATATTTAGTTATATATATCAAATAAAAACCAGGGACCGTAAATAATCATTATTTGAGATTTTTATTTTAAAAAGGCTACTGTGATATTTTGTTTTAAACGTCAAAAATAACGTTCTTTTTACTCTTGTCCACAAAGTACATGCATTTTAACAAATCTTGAAACCAAATAAACTCTTATTTGTTCATGTCTATAAAGTGCATAAAAACCAGTTAAATTGTTGATTAAAACTTGTAAAAACCTCAGTAGGCCTTTTAAAATAAAAATCTCAAATAATGATTATTTACGGTCCCTGATAAAAACACCTCTTAACGAGGTAAAAAACTAGTGACGATCGCACCTTCAACATACAAAAGATCTGATATCAACATTTGTGACGAAAAATTATTGCACTCGTCATTAAATAGACTTTCTAATATTTTCTCATTAGGCCCGCCCTAGCAAACTATTTTAGCCTTTTTACCTTCATAGGCATTTTCTATTGCAGCATGCCGAATGAGAAAATCTGAGAAAGTGTATTTAATGACGAGTGTAATAATTTTTCGTCACCAATGTTGATATCAGAACTTTTGTATGTTGAAGGTGCGATCGTCACTAGTTTTTTACCTCGTTAAGAGGTGTTTTGTATTTGATATCTGAAGTTTTTGTTTGTTTACATTTGCTCTCTTAGGAGCTAATATATACATTTAAATTTAAATTGGTCAATCATAATTTGTAAGCCATTGTATTTAAACAAATTAAGTTAAAAAGGGGTTTAAGTATTTCAAAATACCTTTTAAACGAGGTATAGCACATGTCGGTACCTTTAGTAGTGTAGAACTTACAAACTAACGAAATTTAGCTATTTTTAGCTTTTTCCCGCTAAAGTAGCGGCTTTTTCCAAAAGTCGTAGAACAAAAGATTCCTATATAGAACTCTTAAGTGCAAATTTACTGATTCCATGACCCTAAAATAAAGTTCGGATACCCTCACACAAAATTCAATACTCAGGGAGCGTTAATTGTTCGAGCTGGCAAGAGTGGCTATTTTCGTATAAAAATAACTTTTAAACTTCTTTACAGTAATGTGTTATATACCAAAATGTAAGGAATCTCAAGGGCTATACAGTTTAAGGTTTTAAAGAAAATCGTTAGAGCCGTTTTTGAGAAAAATAAAAAAAAGCTAAAAAAAAAGTTTTAAAAAATTGTCTTTTGTTCATATTTTTTTAACTATTACATTTACACAAATTGCATATAGAAGGCGTTTATAGGATTTAAAAATACCTTTCAAACGAGATGCAGCACAAGTCTTTAGCTTTAGTAGTATAGAAGTTACGGCTTTCCGAATTTTAGCAATTTATAGCTGTTTTCCCGCTAAACTAGCGAGTTTTTCCAAAAGTGGTAGAACAAAAGTTTTTCATATCGATGTGATGAATATCAAATTTTCAAAACTTAAAAAACATGTTTTGGACAAACTGACAAACTGACAAGCTGACAAACTGACAAACAGAATTAAATTTTCATTTTGGGAAGACGAAGAAAATCCTATTTTGGCTATAACTTTTGAACGGAGCGTCGGATTTTGACAAATGACCCCTCATTCGACGAGTATTTTCAAAAGGAATACAACTAAAACATTGCGAAGGGGCATTTATCCCTACCTACCCCAACAGCTCCAAATTTCGAAATTTTCACTTTTTCACTTTCACCGCTCTCTCTCCCAAGCCAATTGATTTTCTTAGAGTCTTGGTATGCAATCCTGTTAGTTTTCGCAATACCTTTCTGACCTTACCTTTATGATCGGACCATCACAGTAGATTTTCATTTCTTCGTGTATATGTATATAGTAGTCGCCTTCGCACACTCTCCTGGTGCGCTTCGTCACTACATGGACTGCCGTCCATAGTGATAATTAAATGATTAATTTGACGAAGATACTATCGCGATACTTTTCAAACCATCGATAGTGGTAGCTAACTCCTCACCACCAATAGTACCCATGATGGTTGCAAACGTTTGAAATTGTCTACGGAGTGGAAATTGTGTCGCGTTTGCGTCGAACAGTGACAAAATCATGAAAACCATAGAGCAATAGTGAAAATTAATTCTTTTCAATAGTGCGGAGTTTAATGTTAGCCAAACACGGATAAGATAAAAGCAAGAAAATGGTGCAAAAATTTCAGTCTCCCGTTCGTGTCTACAAGTATCCCTTTGAGCTGGTGATGAAGGTACGTATGTACATACATATATGTATTTATGGTGTGGGCGGAAAGGTGTACGTACATTAATGTATATTATGCATTATCACTATCAATTCACTAAACAAGTGCAGAAGGCAAGGGCTGGTTGTTAAGTTAATCGATTTTACTCTGCCATAAATAAAATTAACATAGGCCAGCGAAATGTCCACTTTTATGTATGTACCAATCTAAAAGCGCACTTATGGAACATTGCGACAATTCCTTATCGATTCCGAAATTGAACAATCACTTAGAAGATACAGTGGCTCACAGCTTATTTCTTCACATTCTAAAGGATAAATGAATTAAAAACTCAAAGGATCTTGAAATATAAATTAATTTTGATTTATGCCTTTTTGATTGAAGTGAGTACTAGGCCTTAACCAAAGAAATGACCCATTGAAAATGCATATTTTTTCGCAGATTCAGCTTATCCAGAGATGTCGAGAGCTAATGATTATCAATTTAAGGTGTCTTAACATTACCACAAAACAAAATAGAAGTCAACATTACAAAAAAATATTCCAAAACACAATATTTTTAGACGAAACTACTCCAAAAGTCCTTCCCAAGGGTCGAGAGTAGTTTTTACTTGGCAACAACAGCAAAAGGCATTGTATCCATGTAAAGTTAACTTTAAATTGTTGCTAAACAAAAGGCTAGTTATGCCAAATTAACAAAAAAAAATTATTGGCCTCTATGTTAATTTATTCGATTTTTTCGTTAACTGGTTGAAATAAGCTGCGACCTTTTTTTGGATGTGGATAAAGTTAGCAATGCAACTTTTATAAATGCAAATTTTTTTCTATCGACAATTTGCCGTTATTTATCCGTAAATTATTCGTGAAAGAAAAAAATTTGCCGCTCAATTATTTTTAAAATTATGAGATGTTCTGCTAAGTTGATATCAACTTAGCAGAGCACCCACACTAAAGTTCAAAATTTCCAAAATCTTTTTTAATGGGAATTTCTTAAGTTCCTTCCAGGTTTTACCCGCCACTAGATCATCTTTAAACTTTCCATTATAGTAGTCACTTTTAGCAGTATGTATCAGTTTGTTAACATTTTTTCTAGCAGTCTTAAATTAATTGTGAAAGTTACTAGTGTTCTACCGTTTCCATTTCTCATGGGCCTCATCTCTCTGCCTTTTTCTGTTAAACCATTTGTGTTTGAATCGTTTAGGTGTTATAGTTTTAACTGGAACACACAAGTTATACAGACGCAGGACAATTTCTTGAAGAAAATCTATTTGTTCATTTACAGAAATGAAACGATACAAAGCATTCCAATCACACGCATTACATTTAAATTTTAAATTCTCGTTCTAAAGTCTCTATCAGGGGTGTCACAGAAACCGTCGACGGTTTTGGGGACGGTTGGTTTAGAAACCAACCGATCAAAACCGTAGGTGTCACAGAAATTCGAGAGATTTCCTTTTTTCGGAAAATTTACCGAAAAACGACGAGGGCTGGATGCATACACTAAATATCGAATATTCAATAATTATCGAATTTTATTTGACTTATTTTGACTATTTTTCAATAAGTTTTAAACTTAATTAATGTTTTTATTGCAAAATTACAAAAATAATATATGTTTAAAGCGCATATTGTACACAATAAAAGAAAAAAATTAAAAATATGAATTACCCGCCAAGATGTACATATTGCAGCCCTGAACAGCTGTTTGCAGCGGCTGCGTTTGTTTACTTACGTTTATAAGTTGGCAAGAATTTTAAAGCAAAATGCCATCTGCGCGAATTCTTGCTCTGGAGTACTTGCGAAGACAAAAACTTCAAAAGGCTAGGCTACAGAGGAAAATACTTAGAAGCTCGTCCGATTTTCTTTCGCAAACAGATGAAACGTAAGATAATTTCAAGTGTATTTTCTGCTGGTACTTTAAGTATTTATGTAATTTTTAGGTTTCGGTACAATTTCCGACTTGATAAACATACATTTATAATGGTGTTTCATCTGATTGAGGAGCACATCCCAAAATCATCAATTCCGCCCTTGTTCCAGCTGGCCACGGTTCTGCGGTTCCTGGCAGTTGGGTCCTTTCAAAGAGTAATTGGGAAGGACTCTGACCTGGCCCTTTCTAGAACCACGGTTTGCAAAATATTATGGGATGTTCTTCCCTTGATGGAAAGGATTCTTTGCCCAAAATTCATTAAATTTGACCAAACCAATGAGGCTATCCTCAAACCTAAAACCCATTTCTACAATAAGTAGTCCATGAGTTTGCTCGTAAGGAACTTTCCTCTAATAAAAATTCTTCGGTTCCAAAAAACTAGATTTCATTTTGCACTATCAAAATGTTCGTGGCCTTCTCAGCAAGCTAACTAGTTTGCATGCAAACAGTGCTGCTTTTGACTCGAGCATTATTGCCTTCACAGAAACTTGGCTTAATTCTACCGTATCCGATAGTGAAATAATGTCCAATAAATATTTCATTTATAGGCGTGATCGCCCCTCTCGTCGAGGTGGTGGTGTCCTAATTGCCGTAAAATCCGACTTATCGTCCCAAGCGTTGTCCATTGCTGACACGGCCGATATTGAGTTTATTGCTGTAAAAATATGCCTGCAAAGCTCCAACCTCTTTGTAACTTGCTCGTATATTCCTCCATGTTCCCAAGCTTCTACATATTTGCAGCACCTCGCCGCTATTAGGAACATATCTTCATCCGCTGATGCTTCAGATCACATTATTTTGGGTGACTTCAATATTTCTCAACTATCCTGGCTGCCATATGATGATCTTGCTGCACTAGTTCCCAGCGATCAGAATGATTTCCTAGATGGTCTTATCGCCTTATCCCTTGGCCAAGTAAATTCCATACCCAATCAGAATGGGAGATTCCTAGACCTTATATTTGTATCTGACTTTTGCGATACCACTATAACGCGCTGTACTCCGCTGTCCAGTCCTGAAGACCCCTATCATCCGACACTACAAATTAACATTAATAGTGTGGTTCAGTTCCCAAATACTTCTGAAAAAGCGATTCGGACTCGATGCTTCCGGAAAGTCGATTACTCGCTACTGTCGGCTTCCTTGACCCAAGTGGACTGGTCTATACTCCAAAATCTTTCACTTGAAAATTCAGTATCAAGCTTTTACAATATTATGTATTCCTTATTTGATAAACTTGTTCCTTCCATTATTCAAAAAACCTCTACCAGCCCACCGTGGTCATCGAAACACCTGGCTCACCTAAAAAATTTAAAGACGAAACTGTATAAGAAATTCGCGAAAACAGGGCTCCAATCTGATTTTTGCAAATACAGTGTAGCCAAATCGAATTATTTCCTGCATAATTCCGAATGCTATAATAGCTACCTGTTACGCTGCAAATATGAATTCCGCAGTAATCCCAAGCTATTTTACTCTTTTGTTAACTCAAAGCGTAAGTCCAAAATGTTTCCACCTTCTCTTCATTTGAACAACATATCAGCGTCAAATGACCAGGGAATCAGTAACCTGTTCGCGGACTTTTTCCAGTTCACATATTCGCCTTATTCAAATCTCCCAAATTCCGATTTTAGCTATTCCTATCAGCTAGCCCACACGGACTCCATATATTGTCCTGTAATTGATGAACGTGATGTCAGTTGCAGCCTATCCTCGATAAAGCTGTCTTATTCTCCAGGTCCCGATATGGTAACCAGCTCCGTTCTAAAATATTGCGCAGATCCACTTTCTGTTCTATTAACCATGATTTTCCAAAAATCTATCCATCTCTGCACCTGTCCGGCCGTTTGGAAGGAGTCCTTTATTATTCCACTTCATAAGAAAGGCAGCAAGTTTGATATTATGAACTATAGTGGGAGTGCCAAACTAAGAGCTATTCCTAAGCTATTTGAAAAACTCATATGCGATCAATTGCAGCATCAGTGTCGCTCCTTATTATCTCCGAATCAACATGGTTTCACAAAATGTCGTTCAACTACAACTAACCTGCTGGAATTTACGACCTACATTAATAAAGGCTTCCTATCCTCCAATCAAACTGATGTAATTTTCACTGATTTTAGCAAAGCGTTTGATTAAGTGTGCCATGAGCTTCTTATCCACAAGCTGCGCCTTCTTGGTTTCCCACTAACTCTTCTGATGTGGATTCAGTCATACCTTACAGGCCGTTCCCAAAAGGTACAATTTAATAATGTACTTTCAAAAATTGTATCTGTAAGCTCCGGAGTACCTCAAGGTAGCCATCTTGGTCCTTTGCTATTTGGTCTATTTATTAATGATCTTCCTCAAATTATCGTGGCCTCCAAAGTTCTTATGTATGCGGATGATGTCAAGTTGTGTATGCATATGACATCGACTGGTTCCCACATGCAACTCCAGCTTGACTTAAATAACCTTCAATCCTGGTGCCAAGTCAATAAGCTACTGCTTAATCCAGATAAATGTAAATCCATGACATTTTTTCGTTCCAATCCAGCTGTGCGTACAAACTCCATTGGCCAATCAGCGCTAGAACGCATTGAAACCGTCCTAGATCTTGGAGTCCTATTTGACCATAAGATATGCTTCAATCGCCATGTCAGCACTATCTCCAATAAAGCTTAAGCCTTATTAGCTTTCATCAAACGCTGGTCCAAGGAATTCGATGATCCGTATATCACAAAGCTCCTGTATGTTTCCTTAGTTCGTCCAACGCTGGAATACTGCTCATGCGTATGGTCTCCACAGTATGAGCACTATCAAGACATGATTGAGTCCGTCCAGAAGCAGTTTCTCCTATTTGCCTTACGTGGTTTGAACTGGGACTCTGGAAGCCGACTACCTTCCTACAAAGACAGGCTGCGACTTTTGAATCTGCCAACTTCAAAGCATCGTCGAATATGTACTGGCGTGATCTTCCTTCACAAGCTCCTTACTGGCGGTGTGGACTCACTTCACCTGATAACGTCCATAAATTGGAACGTTCCTTCTAGACCAACTCGTCGATTTCGGCCATTAGCACTGGAAATTGCCAGGTCAAACTACTCCCGTTTTGACCCATTCCGAGTTTTATGCGACAACTATAATGAATTGTACCACTTATTATCCTATGAGTGTTCCTACGATGTAAATTCAACCAGAGTCACTGCGTTCCTGCCTTCCGCAAATAATCAATCATATTGAAAATTTCTTGTATATTTTTTAAGTCCAATGAGCTGTTCATAGCTTTATATTAAATAAATAAATTAAATAAATAAATAAGTACGGGATTCCTGGAGTTATTGGATGTATTGATGGCACCCATATAAAAATAATTAAGCCAAATGAAGGAGAGTCCCATTACTTGAATAGGAAAGGGTATTTTAGCATAAATGCAACTATTGTGAGTTGATATTTTGATGTTTTCTTAAAAGTGTTTCTGTGCAATCTGTGGGTATGTCAATTGTTTAAATGTCGTTCTTTAAGGTTGTATTAGTATTAAGTTTGATATACTCTACAGATTTGTGACTATAATCTACGAATACTTTTTGTGGATGCGGTAATGCCAGGGGCAACTCACGATTCATTTGCTTGGAATATGAGCCTGGCCAGAGAATTTCTGCAACAAAAATATGATAGTGGGGTCCGTGGAAGCTGGCTTCTTGGGGACTCCGGTTATCCACTGGAACCTTTCGTTTTGACCCCTTATCTAAGCCCAGCTGCAGGAACTGGTCAACATTTGTTTAACCTTCGCCATGCGTCGGCCAGAAATGTTGTAGAAAGAACCATTGGTGTTCTTAAGAGCAGATTTCGATCCCTTCAAGGATGTTTGTTGTACCACCCCTTAAAGGTTAGCCGCATTATTAATGTGTGCTGTGCGATCCACAACCTTTGCCGTGATCGCAATGACCCGGATTTCGATGTTGAAAGGTACAACAATCAAAATGATGCGAGTGAGGAAGATGTAAATGAAGTAAATAATGAACCTTCAGAAGCATCGAGTATTCGAGATGAAATCAACATTAAGGCGCCGTTGAACATAATTTGAATAAAAAGCTGTATTTAAATTTTTTTAGCTAGATGTTTTTATTTATTAATAAATTTAACAAGCGATTGTTTTCCGCAATAAGTTCATTTTGCTTTATCATTTGTTTTACAATGGCATCGTTGCCATCCTTGAGGGTCTTATTTAAATTCTTAATACCCTCAGCCATTTCAGCTATCTTTGCACCTTCTTCGGCTACAAGGGTGTTGAGATCGGCGTTTCCATTTAAATGAAATCCAGCCTTGGAATTTCTCTTTGGACTTGGAGACTCTTGCGGCAATTGGAAGATGGCGGGTTCTTCGACCGTGTCTTCGTCCTCACTTTGGGGGGCAGCACTGATTTCCTTTCGAGGCCTTTTAGCTGATGGTTCAAATAAAGCTTTGTAAATTAAAAACTGTAAATCGATGGGTTTATATGGTAGTTACCTGAAGGGGCTGGGAGCTCGTCTTCCTTGCCTAACCCAAAAGCCTCAGCCCCGGCTATTCCTTCTACCATCTGGTAAAGGTCGATAGCGACTGCTATGGCGTCCTCCGTAGCCGTCAATGCTTCCTGTTGAAAGGGACCACCTCCTGTCGCCCTAGTCTCCTTTTTGTTGGTCGCAATCTTTTTTTTATCGACTGCTTCCAATCCTTCCAAACCTTAATTTATTTACCAAAAATCACATTTAATAGAAAAGTGTGTATGTAGTACATACTCTGTACTTACTCGGCGCCACCCGTCAGCGGTTTTACATGGTGGTCCATGGGCATTTAGCTCACTGGCCAGATCCTCCCAAGCGGTGGTCACCAGAACGCGGTCGCCCCGAGTAAATCCTTTGGCAATGTCGATATTATCGCGAATGAATCGCAAGAATATAGCGTCTTGCGCTGGTGACCTATGTTTACCCCTGAAAATTAGCAACGTTTATTAGTTTAAATTAATAATAAACAAAAATGTTGTACTTGTTTACTTACATATCTTCTTCTTCTTCACAGCCGGCGTTTTACCCGGCAAAAATAGGACATTTTTTCACGACAGTGATGCCAACTTGCGGCCTGTTTTTATTAATTTCTCAATAACTACAACTTCTTTTACCATAAAATTTGTACCAGAAATAGGTTTCATTTTTAACTACAATACTAAGTACCTTTGAATAAATAATTCGTTAACAAAACATTTCGATAACTTACTCCGAAATTTGGACAAATTTGGTATTTTAAAGTGCTAGCTAATTGGTAACACTGCCAGGTAGACGGTTTGCCGACGGATTTTTTTTAGCTAATTTTTTCGAGAGGTTTTATAAAAAGCATATTTTTATACCCGTTACTCGTAGAGTAAAAGGGTATATTAGATTCGTGCAAAAGTATGTAACAGGTAGAAGGAAGCGTTTCCGACCATATAAACTATATATATTCTTGATCAGGATCACCAGCCGAGGCGATCTAGCCATGTCCGTCTGTCTGTCTGTATGAACGCTGAGATCTCAGAAACTACAAAAGCTAGAAGGTTGAGATTTCCCACACATATTCTTCACATATTCACATATTTCTTCCTGCGCCCACATCTTTAAATATTTCCGAAAAGTAAAAATGCAATTTTGTTGTGTATATTTATTCCTATCGAAATGTAGAATACATTTTTCAAATCGGACCATTCATTAAAAAGTTATACGCAATCAAAAGTTATATATCTATCTCCCTCGCACTCCCTTTACCTGAGTTACGATTATTAGTCGGGATACCAACCCGAGTACAGCGTTCGCACTCCCTTTAGCTGAGTGACGGGTATTAGATAGTCGGGACACCAACCCGACTATAGCGTTCTCTCTTGTTAAATATAAACCGAAGTAGGTATAAAAATCGTAGTATGCAGGTAGTTCATAAAATTCATTAGAGTTATTCTAAATAAAGTTATATTTTTGGGAAACATTTTTAAGTTGGGTAATTTTATCAAAACGTCCGGCAAAGTACGGGGGATTTAGAAATTAAAAAGGGTGTTACAGGTACTAGTGAAGAGTGTTACATAAGTTGAGTTTACCAGGTACATTTCAGCAGTTTCCATATTATTGGACAAATGCTTCTCCAATAACATGTTACTGTTAAGGTCACCGGTTAGTAAAATTTCATTATATGTCAAAGATAAATCCTGTAAAAATGATATGAAATCAGTATAGTCAATTGTATACGCAT